CGATTTAAATTTTTTACAATAGAACGTTTGTGAGAATTCCTTTGAAAATTATGAGGAAATTGCTTTGTATTGCGCAGACAATTCCCTGCACTGGGAAAAAAGTAGCTTGGATCTAAAGTCCAGACTCTTGAAAACAATGACAATAAAAAATACTCTTGATTCAATCGGATTTTTGCTTGAATCAAAAGGAACTCCGCTTAAATTAAGAGGCTTGGTTCACGATTTAAGCAAAAATCCAAATTGAATCGAGAGTATTTTTTCTTGTCAACGTTTTTAAGAGTCTGGACTCTAGATCCAAGCTACTTTTTTCCAGTGTGAAATTTGTACAATCATTTACATGTAAAAAATTAAATTTTCCAATTGAATTTGGGAATAGCTGATGTGACTTGGTTCCTTTCTGCTCCACGCGGTCCATATGACCCTAAGAGATAATTTTCAAATTAGTGCCTGCAAGTCTGATGGTGACATTATTTTTACACGAATAACATTAGGCTTGGTTAGATTATGCTCGTTGGGTAAAGTGTAGGTACAGTAGACTCTGGATGGATAATTCAGAGTCTACTGTACCTTATTATTATCCTTTGGCCTCGTATTATCCGGACTCTGGATTATCCGGATCGATTTTGCAACCATGTAACTACGTACGCATTCCGATAAGTGAGCGGATCCGCGGGGAAGTGGTCGCAAGGCATATTGGCGCCTGCAAGGCTGAAGGAATACTTCACGCATTGCGCCAAACAGTGAGGTCGGCGTGGAACGCATTAGCGCCTACTAGATTGCATAAATACTTCTCGCATTACGCCAAACGCAGTGCAGTCGGTTAGTTAGCCTAAAACCCACAGTGGCGGCTACAAGACTGCATGAATACTTCACGCATTGGATTTAATGAAGTGATTCCTGCATTTTGCCGTCTTGGGATCTTTCGTGTGATTCAACATGGTAAAATTTTTATTATTAAGCAGGAATGCCTCCATGTGACAGGCAACTCCCGCTTGTCGGCACGCCTCCTTTTCTACGAAGCGTTAAAGTCACCGAAGTGATTCCTACATTTTGATCCAATTTTAAACATTTAGGGTCTAATTTAAAGCTGTACGGTTTTCTTCTAGCATTAACTTCATTTTCTAGTTGGCGGAAAAATTAACAGGATAGCGTGCTAAGAGGCGCGAGAACATACGCGTTTGGAATTTTCCAACCATAAGATGTGGTCAATTAAAAATGAGAATGACGAACCGAAAGGAATCAGCCGAAAGCTTGTTGTTATTTTAGGTGAATTTTCGCGACTGGAATCGATTAATTTGTCGGATAGACGATTGCTGTATCACCGTTGGAATTTGGACCAATCAGGATTGAGTATCTAATTTTCAACCAAATCTTGATGAAAACGAGCCAAATCCCAGACTAGGTTAAAAAATACTTACTCTACGATATAAAATGAATAAACAAAAATTTGTACTCGTATGTGCGCTTTTTACTCTTCGTTTCATCATCATCACCTCACCGCGGTTTTTGTTGCTCAGTTGTTGTTTCTGTCGCACAGAACACCACCATTTTGGAAAAATTGGTTGCTTCTCGAGGTTCATAGTGAAACCGTTTACTCCCATCCTTCTTAACCTTCCTTCGGAGGGGGTTCGAAAAATTCTGGATTTGGTTCCGATACCGGTTGCTGATGCACTCAATGGACTAGTGGATTGGGTCGGGGAAAACCGCTCTCTACTGGGATTTCGTCGAAAAAGTCAACCAAATCCTTTCGCGAAAATTCGCCTTAAGTTCGGGTAACCGGCCCATTAGGGTGTCCCATTTTGGACGCTGATACAAATGTTTGCCGAATCCAACAGATACTTGCCAAAAAAATTGTCTCATGGTTGGAAGATAGTCATAAAAGAATCTCAGGAAAACAGTTATTTTTCTCTTAAAATATAGTATCAGAAGTCTCATTCCCCACATTTGCGATTTTCTGGCTCGATTGCATTTTCCAAAAAAAAATCTGCGAAATTGCCAGGATCGCCTAGATGAGAAATCGGTAAAACCACGTAAGTGACTAGCGGGACCACTTAACCTTTAGCTACGACCCTGAGATTTTTTTCTAACCATGAGACAACTCTTAGGCAAGTCTCTCTGTTAGATTTAGCACATTGTTTCAACGCCCTAAACGGGACACCCTACGGCCCAATACTAATATTGCGGGTCAATGGATTAGGGGGGCGGTTAGATCGGCGTATTGCGGGCGACTGAGTGATGCGAAAAAACGCGGTTGATTGAACTTGGTGGCGGCTGTGCGGGCTTTTCACCAGCGACCTTCTGCCTTCTGGCGCTTAATTAACTTCCAGATCGATCACTTGTCGACCTCTTCCCCGGCTGCCGGCCAGCGAACACCGAGTGTAGCGCCACGTTTACTAGATCCCCGGCCAGACACCTGATCCATTCGAGCGCGNNNNTTGCAGCGTACGGCCGTATTTGAACTACGTTTACGATTAGGGACTGCAATTCCTGGCTCATTTTAAGAACAACGCTTGCTCCATCAGTTTCCCTATGCACTTACAAGTGCCAGAAATAGTGGTTTCTAAGGGACTTCTAGACTAGGTACGGACTAAACTGCCGTGCTAAGGAAGAGCGACAGATTCGAGAGTTGTCACATTTCCTTCATTTAAATATTTGTTTTTGAGGAAAGTTATGAATATTTTTCCTTTACATTTTCAGGGACTTGAGGTGAAATTGCGAAAAAATAATCTGAAAAATCGGAAGGAAAATATTCATAAGTTTACCAGGGAATTCGTGTTTTATCAAAGGAAATTTGGCAACGCCTGAGGGTTCATACGGCGTTTTTCCTTAGCACGGCAGTACAGCACAACGTTACGTGTTTTCTCTCGAGAATTTCACGAGGAAAACGAATAATGCAAAAGGAAGTCTCTAAATTAACCCCTAAACAAGATATAAGTGTTTTCTATTAACATCGGTTAAATGGAAAAATACAAATGACGTCATTGTACAATCGAACTTCCTTTTGATTTGTGTTTAAAAGACTTTTTTAAATCTCGTCCAGGGGTTGATTTCAAAATTTTCTGTTGTGTGAATTGTTTCCTATGTAAGAATCTCAAGAGAAAACAAGTGACGTTTTTCTCTAGATTCAGACCTCGTCCATAGTTACCCATTGTAAAATGTAGTCCTATTATCGACGATGATTCTGCAATTGAAATGCGTATCTCGGTTGCGGTGTTTCAAAATTTTCGCTCCTGTTTAATTTTCTGAAAGAAGACCAAACCGACATCACCGTTTGAAATTTTCCTAGAATATATACTTAATCACTGGAGTCTCCAAGAAATGACGTTTATCAGTATTTTCGATTTAGAAAATTAAAAATGACGGACATTCTGCAAGGCCTCAAACTGAGATGCGCATGCATTTCTGCAGTTTTACCATTGCAATGGTAAAACTGCAATGCTATGATATGTCATGGTGGTTCTTTAGAGAGCCATGGCCTCAGAAGGCCCGTATCGAAGACTATACTGCAGAATTACGTATCTTTATTGCGGTGTTTCACAATTTCTGCTCCTATTTTATTTTTTCGTAGAAATGTAGTGAAACCGCATTCTCGCAGAGGTATAACGAAGAATACATTCTCTTGTGGTATTATTTTTGGTCGCGGTAATACCTAAGTTCTTCTTGCTGCGAAATTGAACAGCTGAGTGCCAGAAAATCTCCTTCACCTCAAGATAGAAAAAAAGAGTCTCAGAAATAGCTCGGAGTACATATTCTGATGGAAGGGGAAAAGATTTCCTCGTTTGAAATGGTCAGCAGTCCACGAGCGCAAACTGTTACTAATTAACTCGTTTTCAATTAAAAACAACACCAAAAAAACTTATTGCGCACATGTCAGCGAAAAGAGACCGCACTCCTGGTACATTTTTTTTTTTTTTTTTTTTTTTTTTTTTTTTTTTTTTTTTTTTTATTCAATTTACCTCCTTGAATGAAGAATGGAATTTAAAAATCTGACGATTAAAGTCACATAAACATTCCTTCCCGCTTACTTTGAAATTTTCCAATTTTCCTTAACTTCATTCACTGTATTTTTACGCACATTCATGGAAAGTGGGTTGTAAAATTATAACGGAACTCGACTCCGTAATGTAATTACGTCACTGAAGTCGGGTAGAATATCCACTGAAACAGAATGACAAACGAATTTCGCTTGAAATCATGCGTCTTCACGTGATTCGGCGAAACTTTTTTACTTTTAAGGAAAGTCATCGCCGCTCTCATTGCAGGTATTTGCAATGTCAGATAAAGATTGAATGCAATTGATTCATTTCATGAAATCATAATTTATGTCCTACATCATCAAACGAAAGTGGGCACTGTGTATGTGCTCCTTCGAAAAGACAGAGTATTTTCAACAAAGACATACTCCAGTAGATCCTTTCGACATTACGAGGACTCCTTTAGCCCCCCCCCCCTCTCGTAACGTTTTCTTAACGTAAGTCCCTATCCTTGAACACGTACAAAAAGAATGGCGTGACGCGGTAGAAGGCGCGCCCTTTTCTTACCCTTACAGTGTCACGTATTTTATGAACAGCCCCTTACCTCTTGTCCATTTTGTTATGTTGATAAATGGAAATGGAAAATATATGAAACGTGTAAAGGTGGTATGGCCGGCCAGGTTGGCCTAGCGGTCAGCGCGTCTTACTCCAGACCAATAGGTCCCGGGTTCGAATTCCGGAGGTGGTGACAAATTTTCACGGAACTGACGAGTGGATCTGCAGAAACAGATTCTACTCGGCCTTAATCCCTGAAAATTTGACAGCCGGAACATGGATGTCCCTATCATCCTGTTGTTTAAGGGCATTAAATCTCTGTCAATAGTTGGCTGTAGACCTCTGAGAAGAAGTATAAGCCATTAAACCTGAAAAAAAAGAAAAAAAAAGTAGCCGACAGCTACCGTCGTATGAAGTGAAGTTGACCTCTAATCATATCTAATTCGAATTGGTATTTTTTTTCTGCTTCAGGCGTTTTCTTCACACTTTTCATCGGTCTGCTCGCAATTACGATAGGAACATTAATCCATGTTTTCGATCCGTATGATCTCATATTCAGGATGGTAAGTAAAATCTATAGTTTTTATTGCATGAACTTTCCCTCCGAATAGCTACGACGAGATTTCGTCACCTGAATAAGATCACTGATCAATCAATCGATTAGCAGTGGTGAGGCGTGATCAATCGATGTCGATATTTCCCCATTTGAAGCTATGGTAAAGAATCGATTATTAAGGTGTTCGTTGCGAACACCCTGTTTTTCGATCCTCTTCCATAGGTTTAAACGGCAGATCAATCGATATATCGCAAAGCACGCCACGCCACTGTTGATTAGGTGTATGCAGCTTATTTGAACCTATGCACGGGTGGCTTCGTAATGTAACAGGGTCCATTCAGTCCGCCGCTACTCTGCCGCAAGGGCTCATCTGTTTTTGTAGTTGCGCCCTATTCCCCAGACAGCTCCAGGCTTTTCACGGCTCATGTGGAAGTCGAGATAAGCCGTTTTAAGTTCCGTCAAAGGAGCGACGAGTTGCTGGCGCAAAGTTCAAGTCGGTTGCACCACTAGGTACCTCTTTACAGAATCCTGTTTTCTAAGATCATTATAATAATCATCAGTGGAGGTCCACCAATTCACCTTAGTCCGGGCTCTGGCTCCATGCAAATTACAAATTAATGGTCGAGTTACTTTCGCAAATCACAAAGGCTAGGAAGGACCATCCTCGTAACATTTTACGAGTTTCAACCTACGTCAATGTAAAATTCCCATGAGGTTATTGAGTTATCAATACAGCTTTTTGATAGCTGAACGTAAATTTCATGTATATATCTCAATATTGTCGTGCTAAAGAAAAACGCCGTATGAACCTTCAGGCGTTGCCACATTCCCTTGATAAAATGCGAATTCATTGGGAAAGTTGTGATTATTATTCCTCAAATTTTGCAGACAATTTTGTTCGCAGTTTAGTCTAATATGTCTGAATATTTCGAAGGAAAATATTCATAACTTTCTTCATAAATACATGTTTTATCTAGAGAAATTTGGCAACTCTCGAATGTTCATACGGCGGTTTTCCTTAGCACGGCAGAATACTGTTGTGCTTAGGAGAAACGCCGCACAGCGGATCGAGTCAATGGGAGAGGTCGGACAAAATTTGGAGACTTTAAAAGTTCATATAACTCCATTATTACAAAACGCTGAGGTCTTAAAAGCGGTACCATTGGTCTTATCGTAAACTCTCTTAGAGAAAGCACTGCCAGACTTTAAAATTTCTTGAAATAAACATTTAATATGCGGTTTTTGTCAAAAATTTCATGTCTGACCTCTCTCCTAAACTTGATCCACTGTGCGCCGTTTGGACATTCCATGTTTCCAAATTTCCTCATGGGAAAAATTTATTTTTGAGGATATAGTTATAACTTTTTTCCTTTGAAATTTTCAGAAACTTAAGATCAAACTACTAACAAAATTTCCTGAAAAATTGGACGAGAAATTAGCTCGAATCGTGCAGAGAATTTTCTTAAAATTTAAAAAATATAAGACCTTTCGAATTTTTCAGGAAATTCATATTTAATCGGGGGAAATTTGATAACGCTCGAGTTTTTGACGACGCATTTTCTAAACGGCTGTGTTGATAACCGAGTATAGGACGATGATATCGTTAATATCACCTTGATGCAACTATGTGCGCTCTATGGACATCCGTGTTGCGTTCTAAAAATTGAAGGCGCCCCGGTCATTCTAGCCCATGAAGCAGTATGCACCCAGCTGTCGCAACTCCGTTTAGTGGCAGGTTAAAATATCCTGATGTGTTGCGAAAATAAATTTTCCAGTCTTCTAATTGCTTTAGCTTTTGTCAGAGAAATTCATGTTGCCAGTTGCCACATTCATATTCGAAATAGTGGGCCACACGCCTTAGCGTGCACTGCCTCACGGAGTAGAAAAGCCGGAGCGCCTTCCATTTTTCCACATGCAACACGCGTGTCCATTGAGTACGAATAGTTGTATCACGACGATAGTTGCAACATTATTGGATAAGTTACTCGTGCTGACTGAGATATTAGGCGTTAGAGGAGCGACCCATCTTACTCTAATTGATTGTCGTTTAATAAATAAAATTATAAAGTGTGTCTAAAAATGCCACCGTTTTCAACTAAAAAAACAACTTTAATATTTTTTATTTTACGAGGCACGATTTCACCAGTTGATGTTACCCGGGGATTTAAACAGTTCTGCCGTGCTAAGGAAAAACACCGTATGAGCCTTCAGACGTTGCTATATTTCCTTCAATAGAAACCTAATTTCCTAGGAAAATTTTGAATATTTTTCTTCAATTTTTTCGGACAATTTTGTTCACAATTTTATCTAAAGCGTCTGAAAATTTCAAGGAAAAATATACGCATAATTTTCTTCAAAAATAACTGTTTTATCCAGGGCAATTTGGCAACTCGCGAATATTCATACGGCGTTTTTCCTTAGCTTGGCAGTGTTGTTGTCACTAAAATTTAGCGATCAGTCGTGATACATCGTTGCAAAGTTTATATGATGTTTCTCAGACCAATCGTGCAAGGCATTTTCTCTGTATTTTAGGTTCGCTAATGTTTAGGACGGTAGAGTTGAATAGGGACTCGATGTCGCAGTTGGATATAAATATCCCAGCCTGTGCAAATAATGGAGCAGATATCCTTTTCTGTCCTCTTGTCTTGGTTTTTATCAGAGAATTTTATCCAGGCACATGCATAATGGTGCGCCAATCGCTGCTGTGTGCGCTGCTTCAGAGAGCAGAGTGGCCGAGGCGCCTTCAATTTTGTCACATGCAACACGCGTGTCTATATAACCCAAATAGCTTAATTAAGGCGCTATTATCAGCATCATTGAATGTGTTGCTCAAGTTCCCTGAGTGTCGTTTGAAGACTTGAACTAAGAAATGCTAATTTTTTGAAGTGCTTCGAATAGGGATAGGGCAAAATTTTATCAGTTAATGTTACTCTGTTTACTCAAAAAACTTCACCTCAACTTCGGATTTATTCAATCAATATTCTCTCCGCACAAATCTTTGGATACTCTCTGCAATTACGCTTTTCTCATTTTCTTTCAGAAAGTTACATTTTCGGAAGGCGGAGAGACGTATGAAATGTGGAGGAAACCACCCGTAGACGTTTACCTCAAGGTATATTTGTTCAATGTCACCAACAGAGAAGCATTTCTGCAAGGCAAGGAGCATTTAAAAGTGCAAGAAGTGGGACCCTATGTATATAAGTAAGTAGCTCCAGACACGCATATCCTCATTAGCTGCGTTGTCAAAGTAAACTGGTTAAGACCGTTCAGAAACGGAATTATATCCGATTCCAAATGGTCGGCGTTATTGGATCCGTTAGAATTTTCCGATGACCACCCTTCGTTTACATACAGAAAGCCCAAAGTTTCTACCAAATGCTTAACGATCACAGGAGGTTGACAGGATCGTTGAGTTTCGTTTGCAAACGGAGGAACCAAACGGAATCGGACAAGTTTACCTCGACAATGCACCAATTCTAACCTTAGTCCTTTATTGTGTTCCATTAACATCATCCAGCTTAAACGTTAGGACTACTCTTTGCATGCAAAAAGGAATTACCATTTCGGGCTCAACTCCTTTTCTTCTATCTCTTTTTTTTCCCTCCCCGTCCGTTCCAGTTTCCTCCCTCTCCCCCACTTTGATTTTCCCTATGCGAGTAAATACTTTTACTTATGAACCAGGAATAGTGGTTCCCAGATGCAAATGTAGTTCATTTTATGTTTTTCGACATTTCCTGTTGATTAATATGGATTTTATTAATTGCAGTCCTTCTGGGGGAAAATGTGCCCTCTCTTCTTTCAATTATGTATAAAAAATTTCCAAAGTGCTAATTTTTTTATTATTATAACTGAAACGACCAGGGGTCTATGACATAGGACAATTGGACGTATTTCTTTCAAAAGGAACTAAGCGCCATAGGGGGAGGAGGAGAGAGGGGGGCTTGGATTGGCGGGTGTTGCGGACCGCGATGCTCGTTCCGTCCTATACTCGCAATGCTTTTCCATGGCGCTTAGTTCCGTTTGACAGAACGCGCTATCCAGAATTCAAAAATCTTCATGAGGAACTCAAATTGGCGCTTAGTTCCGTTTAACAGAAATGCGTCCAATTGGAAATATCATTTATAAGATCACGGCAGAACTCACTTTATGTTAAATGAAGTAATATTTTGTAATTTGAAAAGCGCAAACAATTCAATTTTGCTCGCATTAAGCAAACAAATTCGTGGATTCTTTTTGATCACAAATACTCGTATTGCTTCCACCGATGAGCGTATAATTTTACTGAAAAGTAGCACGGTTTGTTTTAAATCTAAAAAGATTATTCAGAGAATTTCTGCAAAGAGAAATCTCGTTTTTATCTTCTTTTTTTTTTTTTTTTTTTTTTTTTTTTTTTTTTTTTTTTTTTTTTTTGCGGACTGTGCTACTGTGGACAATCTGCATCCTCGAGTGGGTGCCGGGCTTATTTGGACGTATTTCTACCAAACGGAGCCATATGCATTATGACGTGAGCCCTGTTATGCATATATTCTTATGGGACTCAGGGCTCATGCCTTCATGCACATATAGTTAGTTTTAGCAGAAATACGTCCATTTAGCCTTCTAAAATTGCATGCACATGCTCACATGCGATAACTAGAATGGAAGATAATCGGCGGCTCATTCTCGCTTTGATTTTTAGAGAATCTATGGAGCATCTGAACCCCTCATTCAACCCTAACGGGACTATAACAGCGACACCAATCCATCCACTAACATGGGTACCTCACCTTAGCAACGGAACTGAAGAAGATATCCTTATTCTGCCTAACATTGCATTGTTGGTAAGTTTCTGTTTTTTTCCATCAAAAACGCCTAATTTCGGAACTCTAGGTTCATTGTTAGCCTATCGTTTTTTGAGATCATCCATGTTTATTTCCGGTTTAGAATATATTGTACTTTTTTATTCTATCCTCCTCTCTCTTTTACTTTTCGAATATGATTTGATGTTTAAAAAGCCATCCAAGAATATTCAAAAACTTAACCTTTGAAGCTTTCAAATACGCTCAGGAGTGCTGTTCTCAGGCGCTAGATAATTTTTCCTAATTTTTTTTCTCACCACACGTTTTCCTAATACTTTTTTGTCTCATCACATCACAAGCTCTACTTTTTAATAGACATGCGATTTTTTGGGGGTTTGTTCACAGAGTTTCGCGAACGTCATGTCTCAAGCGTCGTATTTTTCGAAAATGGCGGTGAATTTGCTGATCAAACAGACGCAATCTTTCCCGCTGGTCGAACAGACGGCGCGGGAGTTCATGTTCGGCTACGAAAGCACGCTGGTCACGTTAGGCAACAAATTCATGCCGTCCTGGATTGTCTTCGACAAATTGGGCTTGATTGACCGGGTAAGCGTTCATCCTGCTTGCTTCGATCCGCACAATTCAATCACAACTTCTTCGAACGGATCTGCATTATTCATAAACAAATGCTATTCAACACCTCAGATGTATATATCTTCGTCGATTTTCACCTAGAGGTCCACTAGACTGACTTCCATCAGCTATAGCAAATGATAATCTCTGAGCAGATGAGTCTCCAAAGGCGCTCAGTGGATTGAGTCAATAGGAGAGGTCGGTCAAAATTTGGAAACTTGAAACGCCTATAACTCCATTTATACAAACTTTGAGGTTCCATAAGTGGTTCCATTGGTTTTCTCGTAAAATTTTCCTCTGGAAGCATCCCTTGAACTTTAAAGTGTGACGAAATAAACACCAAAATTCGTAGTTTTAGTCAAAAATTTCATTCCGACCTCTCTAATTGACTCGATCTACTGCGTGGCGATTCTCGCAAGTTGAGAATCCTGTTTATGTTTTACAATTTGAGACGCAGAATTCATTAGTGGCATTAAAAAAATCGAATTATTAGTTTAAAAAGGGGCATCGTGAGGTCCTCAAAATAAGTACCACCGTTACATGCCAAAAAGGTAATATATGGGCTTCTTTAAGTCCAAGCCAAAATTTGTCGGTGCTGATGACAGAACCTTGTGTTCACTAGGTACCTGCACTTTCTGTGTTATATTTACAGAGCTTTTCTGTTGTGAGAACAGAATTTTGGTCGTGAGCAGGGCCGGATTTACTTACTTGCCGCCCATGGGCCGCCTGTATTTTGTCGCGCCCTTCTCATTCGTTCTAAAACATCTAATAAAAACTATCAAGTGAACGTGCCGGAGGGGCAGGGGTTCATAAGACGTGTTTACTCGTGTTGGACACATTTTTTGCGAAAGCCCTGTCAACACTACTGGCAAAAGTTCACGGAACTTTGCGCGAAAGTTAAGTTCCGTAAACCTATCTCTGTGTGGATAAAGCCTTCCATTCATATGTATTGAGCGAAAAAATTATGAAAGAACAAACATAAATGTAGTTTAATCATTTTAACTTCCGCGGCCGCGCGCCGCGCTGAGCGTACGTATTTTGCGCAATGCGTGAAGTATTTATGCAGTCTTGTAGGCGCTAAGCGTTTCACACCGCCCGCTCCTGACCGCACCGTATTTTGCGCAATGCGTGAAGTATTCATGCAGTCTTGTAGGCGCTAATATGCCGACCGCCGCGTCGAGGGCTTCTTCTTTCCATCTCAAGTCCTCGTCATCATTGATTTATGCGCCGCGCCGTTCCAGGTCAAATTGCGTGTTTGGTGTCTCTCTTAACTTGACTAATTAATAAGGTGCTTCCTCTTGTATCACCGGAAGACGACAAAATTAGAAATTACTATACTCTCAATTAATGAGAGATTTTGTCACCTTTTCTTGTTTGTGATTTTTTTTCCGAATCCGATTTTTTTATACCTACATTTAAAAAATTTCAAAATTTTGCCACCCCCTTTTGTCGCCATGGGCCGCGGCCCATGTGGCAACCCCCTAAATCACCTGTTCTATGGCCCTGGTCGTGAGCACAGTTCTCGGTCCTCATAATAGAAATTTCTGTAGCTGTAACAAGGGAAGTGCAGGAGCCCTGTGAACAGAACTATTTTTTCCGTGTGTTTCACAGTATATATTCCAATTATTCACGATCTATTTAGTGTCTTTATAGTTCCATCGACATATTTTCAGATGTACGATTTCAAGGGTGATATATCGACGATATACGATGGAACGACTGATGTGAAGAAGGCTGGTTTAATTGACACGTATAACCGGCTTGACCATCTGCCGCAATGGGAGCACCCTTGTGATAAGGTTCAGAATGCATCTGACGGGACCAAATTCCCATCTCTCATCAAACCCGACGACTCCCTTTACTTCTTCAGGAAATCAATGTGCCGAACCATGCCCATGGTGAGTGAAACCATCATCGTGGCAACATTGCCTTTGTTCCTCTACACAAAATAATTCAGGATTAAATTCCTTTCTTTCCAGCGTGCCTAACTGCTTTCACAAGTGTGGGAAGAGAGGGTATCATACTGATACCATACTGGTTTTCCTTATCAGCAGATATCATGTTGAGCCAGCATATTATTATACTGATTCGGCAGGATAAAATTCGAATTCGGCATGATAACATACTGATTCAGCATCATATCTTGCTGATTTATTTCATCAGAATGCAGATCGATGGTTAAAGTCTGAAACTACTTGTTAAAGTGGTGGATGGTTAAAGTGGATTTTATCATTTGTATTTATTTTTACGTCTGATCCGGCGGAATAATTGGGTATCCCAATTTGCCGGGCAGAATAATGTTGTTTTTCTTTCATGCCTCAAAAAAAAAAAAAAAAAAAAAAAAAAAAAAAAAAAAAAAAAAAAAAAAAAAAAAAAAAANAAAAAAAAAAAAAAAAAAAAAAACCCTATCTCCATTTGCGGTGCTTCAAAATATTCTGCTTCTATTTTATTTTTTCTAAGAAAAACAAGTGAACTACATAGCTTGGAATTTTTACGGATTATTCTGCTAATAGAAGCGAAAAATCAAGAAAGTTTTCAAGAAATAAAATTGACTGGTTTTGCATAGAAAAAATTAAGTATGACAGGAAGTCTGCGACGTCCCAAACAGAGATGCATGGTTCCGCCCTCTGGCCATCGAGATGGCGAGAAAGTCTCCTTGCAAAGACTGTAAAGTGACCTGCACTTTGTTACTCAAGTTTTTTCCAACACCAGAAAGAAAAATCAGGAATTCGACTTTTTCTTTCACGATATGTTGTTGTTTTTGTTGTCTTTTTCATTTCCAAAAGTAAATTTTGCACATAAGTAAATGAGTTTTTTTTTATTGAGTTGAAAATTTAGCCTCTGATGATTCCTAGGTATTTTAATTCAGATATATTTGGCGTAAAACCCTTCAAAATACATTGTCTGATACATTTGTCCTTACATCTTTGTATTTATTTTCAGGTAAGGACCAGTGGTAAGCAAATGCTGAACGGCTTGTCAGGGTATGAGTATCAATTCAAAAATGGATCGATGGATAACGGGCACTCCTATCCTGAAAATAAGTGTTTTTGTAGGAATGGGAAATGCCTACCCTCTGGATTACTTGACGTCACATCCTGTTACTATGGTGCGTGCTTCGTAAACTAAAAGCTATGTAGCAAATATTATTTATGTTCGATCATACTTCTCATGAAGATAGGTAATTCTTAGATCTATACTTTTTATGTATCAGATTGAGATCTTAGCCGTCTAGTTAAGACCAAAGATGTACTCGGATGACTTTATTGGCGAAGAACACGTTTTAGAGCGGACAAAATGAAAAATTATAAAAGAGCAAATAACCCCCCCCCCTTTCCCTGGAATGAACATGAAAATATCAAAATATAACTGTTGTATACAGAACAATATTTTGAGCCAGATCATAAACCACATCTGCTAGTGTCGAAACGCAAAATATTTCTATTTTTTATTTTATTTTATTTTTTATTATTCACTATTTTGAGTTAGCGGCAGAACGCCATTGGTACAGCATTTCTTTGAATTGCACTGAATTATTAATCATTATTTTTCAGGTTTCCCCATTGCTCTTTCCTACCCTCATTTTCTGGATTGCGACCCAAAGCTGAGAGAAGTCGTAGAAGGCCTACATCCTAGCCCAAAGAAACATGGAACTTCCTTCATCATCAACCCAGTGAGTAAAATAATTTTTAGTCGCTCAGTTTGGGAATTACCTAACTGCTTTAATTTTTCTTTTTCTTTCTTTTTTTTCCTGCGATAAAAATGACTTTCGGGATCCGCTGCATAACCTCTGATTAGATTTACACTGGCAAATGCCGATCAAGTATAATTTCCTAGTCATTACAGAGGGAGCCCTAGAAAATAATGCATTTTAAGAGAGAGCTGCAAAATAACACTTATTTTCCAGCTTTAACGTAATGTGTACAAAAACTTACTTGAAATTCAGATTTAAAAGACAAAAAAATTCCTCTCGTGCAGACACAACATCGCAACAAGATGAAAGGACGATTGAAATAATCCTGAAGGAGCACTGGAGCACCTTTGCCGTTAAAAGCCAGAGATTCTATATTGTTGTAGATCACTCAGATTTTGCAAACATCATGCAAGAATTTTGCATGTTCGGAGATTTTTGTCGAATTTTTTTTCCACATTTAGTCACCGAAATAAAAAGTAGTAGCGCAAAAAATACACGTAAAAAGAGAAGTTCGACTCCTCTTGCCGTGGAGCAAAAACAAAATAAAGTATAAAGTTGCACTGACACTTCGTAAAAGAAAGTCAAAACGTCTTATTCTTCATCGTATTAAGCATTAAAGAACGTTTTAAAAAGGATATACCAAGAATGCCGGCAATGTTGTCAATATTTTTTGTGGCAGGAAACATTATACTTATACTGCCGAACATTTTTGTCACAAGGACGAAGAGAAAATCTGTAAAGTTGAACCCTACCATTCATGATGATTGAAAGCCGCGGACACCACGTGTTAAAGTTAAGAGTCATGTTGAGGCACCATGTTAAAGTTAGGATTCAATAACGATATCACGTTAAAGTTTATCTGTGGTGAGATAGAAATAAAGTTCAAAGATTATATCAGATTTCTGATGTGCTGATTTTCTGAATGATGCTTCTTAACTCAAAAACACTCTCAACTCAATTTTTTCGGAAATGTGGTTTGGATCCTCTCTAATAAACTCGGTTCAAATAACGAGACCTGTCGAAATAGCAACTTTCTAATTTCAATATTAATCGAGATACTGCGCTTCGAAGCATTTACTTGATGACGTCATCCCTCACGAAAGTGACACCCTTGATTTCTTCCACCTTGCTTTTATCTAAGTTTCTCGTTTAGAAACCAGTGTAAATGGGTGTCTCTTTCAACAGACTGTTGAAAGCAAGATGGAAGAAATCGAGGGTATGTCACTAGCGCAGTGGATGAAGTCGTATACCGACTTTTCCAAAGGGCGATATCTCAGTTCATATTGAACGTAGAAATTTGATGTTTGGACAGCTTTTATTATTCCTAGTTGAACCACAGGAATTAAGCATCAAAAGACGATTCTGTGACGAGCACAACTGACCCACTCACGACATTAAAAAATCGCCTTATTAGCGAGTACTCGTCTTGGGGCAATGATTTATCAGCAAGTTTTGAAGGATTTTTTAGGAATTTATTTTTTTTTGAAGGATTCCCCCTTTATTCGTTGCGACCGTCCTTTTGACAGTTGCTGTTAACTTATTTGAACTTTTCTTGCAGGAATCTGGAACTCCGCTGAAGGTCACGGTTCGAATGCAAATAAACATGGCTCTGGGTGACCTTAGCGCCATGGCACACACCCCGCAATTCAGTAATATGGTCCTACCTCTACTTTGGACGGAAATTGTAAGCAACATACATTCAGTTCAATTTTCAAGAATAAATGAAAGAAGTAAGCCGAGAATTACATTTTTCTGAGGAAAAGAAGACACGATAAAACAGCCTGGATGTGATGTTCTGGGCTAATGGTAAAATTAGGCATTTCGGCAATCTCCTAGAAAAATAGTCAAACTTTGAGAAATGAAAGAAAAAGAAAAAAGAGAGGGACAAAACCATTCATTGGACCAAAAAATATGAGTCTAACCCCAACCCAAAGATCCTTAAAATTCGTTCTCCTAATCCTTGATGAACCTTGAGCCTCTCCGCTATTCCTTAGCAATAATGAAAGCGCTGGTTGCGGCTCTAGCGGCTAAGTGCGACGGATACCGTTTGCGGAAGTGCTTTTCAGTTGCGTAATAGACTATCAATGGCGGTAACGGGTATCCGCTGAAAAATGCATGAGACTGAGCCGGATTATGGAAATCCTGGTGTGTATACAGTATCCACTCTGTCGCAGAATCACCTATGACGCACACGACAAATGGGCAGCTTCCCCTAATAGCTCATCAACAAAATATAAAATTTGCGTTAAAGCTCAAGGCTTCTTCTGTAATAAACATTGGTTGAGCGAGTTTTATGTCTCCCGTTCATCATGCTCAGTGGCGTGGCGTGAATGATCGATTATCGATATTTCCCCATTTGAAGGTACGGTGAAGAATCGATTATTAAGGTGTTCGCTGCGAACACCCTGTATAAAGATCTTTTTCCATAGGTTTAAATAGCAGACCAATCGATATATCGCACAGCACGCCACGCCACTGATCATGCTCGTTCAAAACTAGCCATCCGTAAATTCACAATATTCTGCAATGATTAAATCGTTAAAACAAATAGAATACTGAGCGAAAAAACCTCAGCGAAATGATTTTTTTACGATCCATCATTTTCCCAGTCGCTATTTCAGACTGCATCGCATTGTAAAAAAAAGTGATAAAAGCTTAGCTTAAATTCCGTCTGTCACGGAAAAAAACACGTATAAAATAATACTGTGCTTTTCTCGGAGGATAGGGTAGCCGAGCTCAACCTGGCGGACGGTGTCCAAAAGCGCAAATGTCAAGAAGCGTAAATCCCAAAAGTGAGAAATGTTTACAGCCGAAAAGTGCAAAGGGAGCAGTGACGAAGACGCGACTGATCGATTATCGATATTTCCTCTTTTGAAACTATGGTAGAGAATCAAATATTAGGGTGCTCGTTGCGAGCACCCTGTATATCGATACTTTTCCACAGGTTTAAATGGTAGATCAATCGATGTATCGAAAAGCACGTCATGCCACTGAAAGGAAGAATATAGAGACTCATCCAAAGCATCAAAAGCAAATCATACTCCATAATATGAAATCATAAGATACGCAACGCATACCGCCCAAGGCGCGAAGCGCTTCTGGGAGTTGGACCGCAAAGCGGTCAGGAGTGATACCGCGTAACCCTATTCCCGAAATCCCGAGAAAATCCCGGCGGAGACTGTTCATATGAACATTACGTAGCAAATCGAAAGGAATTATGCGTGAGTTATGCCATGAAGCACACAATAAAAAGAAAAAAGAAAAAGAAAAAAAGATGCCTCGTCAACTAGCATGAAGGAGACTTAACTAATTAAATCATGTGCAAATACCTCATTTTTTTAGATATTGAGGGCTGGAATTGTTGTGATAAAAATTAATAACCAATTAATGCATTTTGCGGAAAATTGATAATGCCGTGACGAAAATCAGTTGTTTACTTCATTCGAACAAGAAGTGACGTTGGAATTAAGGTAAGGCGTTAGAGAGACAAGCGAAGTACCCTCACTTATTGTTAGTATCGCATTCGCATACGACGAACCTTGAACCTCCTTCATAACGCCTAGGTGCAACTATTCGGGCCTCGTGGATGTCCGTATTGCATCGCACGAAAGAGAAGGCGTTTTGACCACCCAGGCACTCAATGCTTTATCCGGCGCGATGCGGCGCAAATGCAAGCTGAACTCCATTCATGCTGTAATGAAATCTCTTTAATACAAAAAGTTGCGCACTAGTGTAGGAGGTGAATATCTTATTTGCTTCAGTTTTTATATTGCGATGCGCTGAGCATAATTGTCAGTGCAACATGTATATGCCCAAGAGATCTCTGTGCCGTGTAAACAAAGAATTGAGGGCGCTCTGGATAAACGTGGAAATTTTACTATGTTGTAGCATACTACACAATTTTTCTAACACTTACTCGGCACTATGAGCACTTTTTTCGATACAAATTAAAAAAATTTTAAAACCGATTATACTCGGAAATATTTTGATTTGCATCGAAAAAAGCGGACATTTTAACTGTGTATTCTGATGGGAAACTGTGCTGTTGCAGGCTATGGCGGACCTGCCGACGAGTCTGCTTGCGAGGTTCATCCTCTACCTGCGGATAGCCCCGGTGGCCCAAACCGTGCTCCTCTACTTCCTCATGCTCAGCGGCGTGGCCTTCATCGGGCTCAGCATGTCGGCCATGATCTTCATCCCGGGAAAGGGCGGGAACCTGATGAACAACCAGATGACCGAGGACGGCCTCAACCCCTCGACGTGGGCCGAAGACCGGAAGAAGCAGCGGAAGAAGAAGGCGGTCCAGGTCGCCCGCAACAGGGTCGAGGAGCAGGACCGGACCCAAGTCGAAAACAACAACATCAACATCAAATCCGAGGAGTCCGGCGAGGAGGAGATGGAGACCTACTACTGCTCGCTCCTGTCGCCCACCGATCGACAGGCCGACTTGGATGCCGATCTCCTGGATAGGCTCAAGACCCTCAGCGACACTGAGACATGATCTGCACAAAAGGGAAAGTTCCGTCGCGTTGACTCAACTCTCCACGTCCAAATCCAACCGGTTTGTCAAACCAAACCTTCAAACCGTGTGGCCGCATCGATTTCAGCTGTTTGACGACCAGAACCCCGAGTGGTAAGATTGGAGAATTTGCGGGTTTCTGCGAACTTTGATGAAATTCGTGTTCAGGTTAAAACTACCGAGAGAAGTGAACACAAGGATACCTTTGGTTCATAAATTGAACAATTATTCACTGACAAAAATGAATAGGGTTGATTTTACCATACTCAGACACAGTGATACGAGTATGGTAATAAATACCAGACTCATGGTGGCATTTACCATATTATGGTGAATATCACTAGAGCTCTGGTGAATACTACCGTAGTTCTGGGTATTTTCACTAAATAGTATCACAGTGTAAAAAGTCGAGTAGACTTATAGTAGATTTTACCGTATTTTTTTTTTCAGGGCGGTCGTTTTCGTGTTGCTCAACGTTCAACCCGCGTACCTAAGCCTCTTCAAAAGTTCAGTGAAATTTGAATGTTATATCATCCAAACTGGTTTGACAAACGGAATTGCTCGGTTGATTTGAGTACCGAGCGGCTGGTTCAAACGATCGAACTTTCCTTTCAGTGCGCAGGAAAAATGTCTTAGAAGAGGGAAAAATTGCTCAATTCATTATCTTAGCCTCTAAACTTCCTTACTTTTTGACCATTGGTCTAGTTTATCGTTGTCTTTAGTTTTAATAGTCTTGATCGTTCATATTGAGACTTCTCGGTCCACGTCCACCACTGGGTCTGCAATTTTTCCAAATTCTATGTCAATTGGAAGTGACTATTTCGAGCTACTTAGTGTTTTTGAGCAATTTAGGTAATTCATAAACGTATTCGGTAACCTTTGAGGTATCTATGACGGATACCTCTGGCTCGGTTGTGAAATCGGCTCGAATGTTACCGGTCCGTCGTAGTTGGCATACCTCGCTTCCAAAAGTATGTCGAGCAGTGACGTGGCGTGCTTTGCGATGTATCGATTGATCTGCCATTTGAACCTGTGGAAATGGATCGATGAACAGGGTGTTTGCAACGAACACCTTAATAATCGATTCTCTACCATAGCTCCAGATGGAGAAATATCGATAATCGATCATTCACGTCTCGACACTGATGTCGAGTGAACTTCTTTGGATTGAGTTTCAGTTCCTTTTAGAGAAAGTAGTCCCCGTTGTTTTTTAGATTAATCTAAAATTCCGCCCCTAATCAAGATACCTAGTCAGGAATCTTCAGCATGGATGATCATCGGAGCAAGCATGTATTTTTCTCGGAAGGTTCTTACAAATAACAATATACCTTTCCTCCAGTTTTCCAAAAAATGTGATTACCACTTTTAAGTTAATATTGAAAATCTTAACATTGCGATTGTTCTAGGTCGTGATGAGCTGTTTATGAAAAATTTTACCGATGGTAATACCGGTTTAGTAAAATCTGAATGATGTCAATTACTCTTTTTTATGTAACTTTGTAACGTAACATATCATTTTATTGAAAAATTATTAGTTACCAAAACTGTTAGAAATATGCACGGGAGGAATGCAAAAGATTCTTGTATTGTACTTCCGAGATATTGAAGATAAAACGATGAATAATTCAAATCGGATGGATAATTCATTATTTTTATTGTTAACTCTCTTTCACTGAATTTTTGTATCATCACTTTATCAAAATTTAGAACTTGAAAATGTACATGTTTTATGAAACAGATCAACATTGGACGTACTATTCATGCCAAGAGGAATTATGTGCAAGTGCACGAAATCAAATAGATCCATGATACCCACACGCAAATCCCTCCTGTCATTCATAGTTCTACACTTCATGGTTCCTTTGATTCAGTTCATTTCTGCGTATTTTTTTCAGCACAAATACGTCTAATTTAGAATAAATTATTAGAAAAATACGTGTTGACAAAATTACCTCTTGAAAATTTTACAATAGCAGCTCATTCTTTCCCCAATTCAATTCAAAGGTACTGTGTGTATATTTAGATTTTTATAAGAATGTTTGCAGCGTTTTTCATTGGCAATATTTATGAAAATGATTACAGTTTCACCCCAATTATGGATATTAAGTGCCAATGAGACACTCAAAGCTTCAAACATATACCGATACCTTAAGCAACATCATAATTAGACTTTAGAGGCAGCACTGATAAAATTAATGACAAAACTTGCAAGGATCTTGCCTTAAGCCAAGCGAAGATGAGTCTTTTCATGGTGTTGAATTTTCAATGTACTATCTGTGGTGTTTCTAGAATATGTGTCTGGTGGTATTGCATGTATATAGCAATGCCGACATAGTATTTTCTCGCAGATCATCACAAAATATATAGCAGGACAATGTTGCCTCATTGTTACGGGGCAATATCGCCGTAAGTTACGAGGGTAATGCTCCTTCAGCGCAACTCCTCATATGTTTTATATTTTACCTTGACAGCATTGTGTCATCAAAGACCGCAAGACTCATTCTCATTGTAAGTTGGGTATTGTTGAATTGCATAAAAGTTGCTCCAAACATTAGCAAAAAACCCATTTCTTTTCTACCAGCATTCGTTTTATGGAACATCCCTTTTTTATTATTTTTATCTCGTTACACTTCTCTTCCTACTTTCCTGTCCACATCAATCTCCTTTCTCTCGCATTATCTTCTATCTTTTTCTTTCAAGTTTCCTTCCATGTGATTGATTACTTGTTCGATCGATTACGAACTGGTATTTTGATCTGGACTTTGGTAATCTTTGTGGCGCGAAACAGTCATCTTAAACTCAATGCCGGCCACGCTGATGCGATATTATTGTTTTGCCTAATATCTCACACCTATGAATTTCAGGCCTATGTAGATTGTTTAATCAATGTTTGGATATCAGTATGAGATTATTTTAACAACGAACTGGCCAGTCCCCCCCCCTCTCATTGAGATCTTGAAGGACAAGGCACATAAGTGCAGTTTTTAAAAAAAAAATTGAGTTATAAATTATTTTAAGTGAAACTATACCTATAATCTTAATGCATATATTCTGTGAAAAATTCACTCCCAATACCAATTTTTAAGCATCAAAAAGTCAGCCTAAATTTTGTGCCCACCATAAGGATCCCTGAAATTTTGAAACTTCGAACACGTACTTCTCGAATTAGCAAAAACTGCACTTATGCGCCTTGTCCTCCAAGCCCCTCGATTCAATTTCAAATTATCAATTCCGATATAAAATCTCCTTCAATTCTAAACCTCTCTCCCTCCTTCATATTCTTTAATTTTGTTCGGGCGTTTATTTTTCTTCGTCTTCTTTCCCATTTTTCCTGTCACTTTATTTTTAAACTAACATGCAATCTTTACCTTTTCCTTGGTTTACTTTCCTTCATAAATTCTCCCTTCCATAATACTCATAAGTTAAATAAGGTTGTGATATTACGCTAGAAGCATTAAGCTTAAATTTTCGTGGAATTTTATTTTTCTTTTCCTTTTTTTCTCATCCAAGGTTACGTAATAAGTTGTATCTTGAGTGATTATTTATTTTTCCACTTATTTGTAAATAGTGTACAAAAAATACTTAAAAGACTATGGTGGGATTTACTCCCGCAAGAGACGGAATGGACTTTCACGAAGATCAGTGCCTACGCCGGTTACTGTGCAGGGACGAAGCGTGAATGATCGATCGTCGATATTTCACCATTTGAAGCTATGGTAAAGATTCGATTATTAAGGTGTTTGTTGCAAGCACCCTGTTGATCGATCCTTTCCCATAGGTTCAAATGGGAGATCAATCAATGTATCGCAAAACACGCTACGTCACTGATAATGTGGTGATTTTTCGCACGGTACGAATTATGACCAAAGATAACATATTCTCTGGTAGTAGACTGGTCTTGAAAAACTTTTTGAATGTAATGAAGCAGCCCTATATGTAGGCAGCAAACTTGTTTACGGTGACGCATTAATTTGCCATAATTACAGTGATGCACTTGTGGCATTATACGGTGGCTGCCGTAAAAGACCACTTAGATGCACTATAAAGTGTTTTTTTTGAGTTCTAGATGCACTCGAGTAGATTTGTAGTTACCAATTAAATTATTTTTCTGTTACCCACTGTTACCCTCGAGATGTAAAAAAAGGACCCATTATCTTTGTAAATGTGTGATGATAGTAAAAAATATACCTTTGTACCATCTTTTATTCTTCGTGCGGAAATGTGATTTATTTTCTCCACAACTATGACCCTGGGACCGAATTTTGTTTGTACCGCCCTGTGATTTTGTAAGGCTTTAGCCGCTAGACTGCAGAAGAGTTTTCTATGGGTCCAATTTAGAATTTTTTTCTGTTCGAATTCTGTTTGAAAAATTATCCTCCCCAGTCATGGCAACGGTCCCACACATCTTAGAAAATTATCTCTCTCCTGAAATTTTGGACCATCCCATGTGGAATAAAGAAAATCCTGGCTAAGTGTTTTTACCTATCAAGGCGGTCCAAAAATTCAGAAAGCACAACCGTTTTCTCAAAAATTTGGAGACTGTAGTCCCGACTGGCAGGAAGGGGGAGGGTCCTTTTGGAGAAGAACATTATGTGGGAAAAATCCTTAACTAAGACCCTTTTAGAATACGCCTATTCAGCTCAGTGATGATAGAACGAGGTAAATTTGTCAGTGGCACACTTGTTAAGACCTTGTTAGCCGCAAAAGACAGCAAATGGGTCAATGGCCCTAGGGATGAGTGAGGCGTGAGGTCAGAGGGTCAGCCCGACTCTAGGAAAGAAAAAAACGCCTTCAGTTGAGAATGATACTGCGCAGCACACGGGAGCTTGAATAGTTGTATCATTCCATATTGTAGGATAGCTCGATAACTAAAGTCATGCATAGTCCCATAGAGGGAGAGAAGGGGAAAGGGGGAAGAGATGAATCGGAGGGAGAGCAAGGGTTGAAGGATTAATGTGTTTTTTCATAAAAGCCCAAAACCTATTCTGCCGTACCAAGGAAGAACCTTCAGTCGTTGCCAAATTTCCTTCGACAAAACACAATTTTTTGAGCACATTCACACGTGTTGTTCCTTCGACTCTTCAGAGAATTTTGTTCGCACTTTAATCTAAAACATCTGAAAATTGCGAGGAAGAGTATACTCTTCCTCGCAAGTACTATGAGTATACTCATAACTCACTTCCAAAATAAATATTTGCTAAGAGGAAATTTGGCAACATTAGAATGCTCATACGGCGTTTTTCCTTAGCACGGAGGTATTATTGTACTTTCGAGCCAATTGATGTTTCATTGTGTGCGTGGTTCACGATACCCCACTCGTTAAACACGGGGAAAGGATAGAGAGGAAGGGGCGGGGAGGGAAATAAGGGGAGAGAAAAAGAAAAAAAAACTAATGTAACGAAGGAATGATTTTCTAAAAGACTAGGATACCTCGATTCTTGCTATAATATGGATTTGCCAACGACGTCAACCATTTTGTGCCGCAAATGAGAGAACAGCGAACATTTTCCGCTTTTGATGGAAAATCTGCGTCGAGGAAGCCTCAAAATGCGTCCGAATAGAGCTGAAATTTCAAAAGTTATCCGAGGGAGGCTCTTTTGATACCCTTTACTGTGGGGACCAGGCTTCACTGGCAAAATAACCTAGTTACACCTATGGCATCGTTGGTTAATAAACAAATTTGGCCTCATCTTTCTTAAAACCACGAAAATGTTACTTATCTGCTTTAAAACTTTAGTAGTAAAAAGAATACAGACCTATGCTGCCGTGCTAAGGAAGAACGCCGTAAAACATTCGGGCGTTGCCAAATTTCCCCGGATAAAACATGTACTTTCGAGGAAGGTTATTTATCTATTTTCCCTTAAGTTTTTCAAATATTTTAGATTAAATTGGGAGCAAAACTGTCTGAAAAATTGGAAGGAAAATATTCAGAATTTTCCTGGTAAATTCGTTGGTTAATAAAGGAAATATGGCAATGCCTGAAGGCTCATGGCGTTTTTCCGTAGCACAGCAGTATGCAGAGTGATCCAAAAGTCCTACGCCACCCCTACAACGGCCAGGACTCTTGCCCTGTTTCAGGATGGTACCCCTAAGAGTTTGGGGGGGGGGGGTCCCAAAAGTTGCTTTCTTTGACCTAGGAGCACTTACTAAAATTTCGAATCTGTATCTCAATTCGTTCAAAAGTTCCGAGTGTTGGTGCTGGCTGCTGGCGGTGCGAGATTTTTAAATCATCCTATATCGTCAATCCTCTGACGTAAATAAGACGTATCTTAATTTCCACGAGAGTTTTGTTCTCCGCATAACAATATGCTTTCCGGGGCTAGTGTGGAAATAGAGATGAGCCAGTGGCGGATTTTGCAAGTCGGCAACTCTGTTTTTTCCTCATCAAATCCATTGAAAATATCGATTTCAGGTGAGGCAGGCTGCAACACTAGGAATCGATTATTTGACATACATTTAAAAACAGTGTTGCCGATTTGCAAGAAACGTCACTGAGATACGCCCTTACGTTAGCAGGGGTGACGAAACGTTTAAATCAGAGTTTCAAGTGCTAGCTATCAAAATTGGTTTGTTCAGGGTTTTTTTTTCATTGAGTAATGTATTATTCTTCAGTGAAAGGTAAATAAATTATAAATATGTTTTTATAAGTTTAATCAAAAACTCAGTGGCACTAGCACGGACAAAATTCTATACAGGACGTTTTGGAACATGTGAAGAGAAGATTTGGAACACAGGTACCACAGAAACACGCCGGTGCAGATTCCTTTCACCACTCTGTCCAGCAGGTACATCCTGAGAACAGTTCATAAAAAGCATGCCATGCGTAAGAACAAACATCTCAGAGAACATTTCACAACATTTCATGACATTTCGCACAAGTTCTGGAGGAATGCGACAGAGATGCCGGAGAGACCCACCAGAAGTACTGACTGTGTCCAAGTTTTGTTTTGTTGCTCTTATACAGTTTTTATTAGAAAAGAAAAAAAAGAAGAAAAAAGAAGAGAAAAAAGGGAAAAAATAAAAAAGAAAAAAAGGAAAAACTGGGGAAAAGGGGGAAAAAATCAATCAACAGCACAAAGCGTTTTTGGACTTTGAAAAAATGAGTTTTGTGACGTCACAGATTTTTTTATATAAGCTCACTTTTTTCAAAGCCAATACTGATCACCGTTAGGTATTGCACGATACCATGATTTTTCTTTGTCATCTCTAGAAAATTCTCCTTACATTTCGTGAAAAATATCTTGTAATACTTACTCATCTTTTGTGGTCCAATTATTATTTTCATGACTTCTTATAATCAGGCGTCCTTGATAACGTCATCTAGCGGAGTTTTCCTATGATGTCATTTTTGCTTTTCTGATGGCGTCATCAACGGTATGATCAATAGATATTTCCGATAACATCATTAATATATGCGCTTTTCATGATCTCATCAATGGGCGCTTCTGATTACGTCATCAGGAAATCCATGGTTGATAATGTCATCAGCAAAGCAATGATGAAATCATCGTGGTTTTCCTGGTGATTTTTATGTGTTCACTTCTACCAACGTTCTAATTGGTCGATGAATTAGCCAATCAGAAATCTAGAGACTAAATTGAGATACGTTTGTTTTTGTATCTGAAATCACTGTCGGTATAGTGTCTTTAGTTAAATGTTGCGTTCGTTTTTTAATGTTCTTACCTTCGAATGTTTATCCTTGCTTCCGGTAGTAATGAGAGATCATTTTTCAGTAGATAAATGTATCCACCCTGGATAATGTTTTCGAAAAAGGTTTTCGGAGCCACATTCTGAAAGTTGAAGTCGAAATCCTCACGGTCCGTGGAGTGAATTTCATCGCACAGGGCAAGGAACTTGTTATTGTAGAATGTCCACGATTTAGTTGTAAAGTAACATAAAGCCATCATCGCCAGATAATACCTCCTGTACAGTTTGACCAATCTAAAAAGAGTAAGAAACAATTTCAAAGCGTCTTGTCAAAAAGAACGTCTACACAAAATTTTTGGAAATTAATTTTTTGACGGATTATATTCTTGGAGGATACACATAGATCCACTCCTAAAAATACGTTAAACAAGGTGGTGAGATGGTGCTGGGTCGACACCATTTTGTGGGGGAAATATATCGAAAAAGTTCCAAAAATTTTAATTAGAGTAAAAAATATTGAGCTCTATTGCGTACCAGCACAAGATTGAGGAGGGAGAGCGTTTAGCTCAGGTAGATTGCATTTGAATATTCAGTTGAATTATTAAATCGTTTTTTTTTTTCTCAAAATACGTGAAATATGTTTACAGTTTTTAAAGTTTGATTCTGACGCTGGAGGATCGCGTTCTTACCATCACTATGCCTTCTAGGTTTTTTTTTTTTTTTTACTACTTTAAAAAGCCCTCAAAGGCTAATCCTGCGCTTCAGTCCCGTCCCTCCTCCGTCCCTAACAACCAGTCTCAGGCAACCATTGTTTGAAACCATTAAACTCGGGTCGCCTTGCCGGGAATCGAACCCGGGACCTCCCGATTAGAGTCCCTTTATACCCAGAGTTAAGACAACTCGATTATCAGCTGACTAGCAGCCGGCCTTGTCTGGCCATGGAGGCTGAAACGAGTGCACCCAAACGAACGATATTGAGGGATAAGGATCAGGAATCCTGCGATGTCTGTCACACAAAAACAACAACATCAACAAATTGATCAATTAAAAAGAAAGTGAGATTGGTTTGTGAATAATTTCTTAATCTATTTTCATTTTGGACCGATGGAAATAACAAGTTACTCTTGATAAACCACAGTTAGGTAATATTTTCATTATTCTTGTTCACATTCGAGGTACCGCCATCTTGGTGCACTCGTTTCGGCCTCCATGAGCGAGAACCAATCAGAATTGGATTTTTTTTTGGCCACTTTCAGCCCAACCAAAAGTGAGTTGTCTTAACTCTGGGTATAAAGGGACTCTACTCCCGATCTTAGAGGTTAGGGGATCATTAGGTTAGGTTAGCGCTACTACCACTACACTATAGACCATAGGTGGCCGACCGAGGAAGTGCCACCATAGGAGGTGCGCGCACTGCGTACGTGTTCATCCTTAAGCTACATTAATTAAAACTTTAAAGCCTTGTCTTTCTCTTTCGAGGAACCTTTAGTAAATCTGAACCACTAAATTAGAGAAAAAAAGCTCCAAAATTGAAGAAGTAGACAGTCATTTACTCGACATTTTGAGAAACTTATTAAAATATTTATTTGAGATTTTATTTTTAAAATGGTCCTATAAAATCTCATTCATAGATCTAATTAAACCTTAACTCTAACCATCCAACTATGAGATTCATCAATATTAAAATTCCGTATAACCATATATCAACAGAATCCAACTTTGTTTTTTTAAAAAAAAAATAGAAAGATTAACTAACGGTTATATAGAGACTTATATTTTATAACGGATGTACAATGATAAGATAGCAAAAATAATAATATAAGAAAAATAAGTATCAGGAAGAGTTTGTAAAATGAATAACGGCAAATAGGAACAGTTATACCTTGTTTTAGTAATACTGCCCGTTATATTATAATGATCATCTTTACATCGATCCATATAAAAATAGAACTAAAATTGGGTACTATTATCACAGTAAATATCCTTTTTTTTTTTTTTTTTTTTTTTTTTTTTTTTTTTTAATCGTCTTACACCCGTTATTCAAAGCTCTCTTTTTACGAAAAGTTTAACATCATTTACAATTCGGATGTATAAGATTTACTATTGTTTAAATTTCTTTTCCATGAAGCTCTGTTACCTAATACGGAGGAGACTCTCTTAAAATTACTTTTATAAAAATTTTGGAAAAAGTAAGAACATCAATCTCATAATAATGTCATCGGATATTAGTGTAACAGTGGATGAACACTTACAAGGGTTGCCTGTTCGTCAGTTTCAAGAGATTATCGAGTAATAGTGCCGGTATCAAATGCTGCAAGATGTGATTAACATAGAAACAGGTATGATTCTTCGTAGTCACACAGCTTGGGTACCAAAGGACTTTCGGGAAAGGATACTTCATCAACGCTTCCATGCCCATGTCGTTCAGTTCTCTAGTGGATATTGATAAATACCTTGAAGAACTGTTGTAAACTGGTAGGATCCCTTTTTCCTTGTCCCTGCGGAAAAATTAATCAATTAATCATCAATTCCTGATTGTAAGTAATCGCGCCAGCTGTGTGTTAACTTTAAAGGGCGTTAGGAGTGTGCCGTGCTAAGGAAAAACGGCATTTCGACGGTGTAAATCGGCAATCACATAACTCGTATGCGGTGTCTGAAAACCTCCGCCTCCATGTTATTTTTTGAAAGGAGAACGAATCGACATCATTCCTTGAAGTTTATGTAGAATTTTCTTCGCACAGAGAAGAAAAATCACGGCAGTTTTAAAGAATTGCCGTTGAGTAGTTTTCCGTTTGAAAAATGAAGTATGACAGGAAGTCCGCGACGTCGCAAACTGAGTTATGTGATTGCCGATTACACCGTCGATATGAGCACTCGAGTATCGCCAAATTTCCTCTCAGAAATTATTTTGTTTTGAAGAGAGTTAGTCATACCTTTCCTTGAAATTTCTAAATGTTTTGGACTAAAGTGGGAACAAAATTGTCTGAAAATATTGAAGAACAATTTTCTCAAGTTTTTTATGGTGAATTTATCCCTCACTGAAGGAGATATGGCAACGCCTGAAAGCGCATACGGCGTTCTTCCTTAGCATGGCAGAATCCGCAACAAGAGAATTAAATAAAAGTGTTAGGGAAGCAAGCAAAGCGCTCTCAGTTAGTATCGCACGGTCAAACACTATACACAAACTTTAAAATGCTTGGGATGCAACTATTCGAGCTTTACGGATGTCCGTGCTGCATACGCACGAAATTAAAGGCGTTTTGACACTCTCGGCACTCACCGCTTCACCCGTGCCGCACAGCTGAGGAGAAAGAGCAGAACTTCACGTAATTTTCACAAATATAATTACTCGACTTAATTCTACTAATGTTTCCCCAGTACAACTCTACCATGCTACGGAAGAATGTCGTATGAACCTCTAGGCGTTGCCAAATTTCCTCTGATAAAATACGAATTGAATGGAGGAATTGTAAATATTTTTTATCTGATTTTTTCAGACAATTTTTCCGCAATTTATTCTAAAATATCTGATAATGTTAAGGAAAAATATACAAATAAAATTTCGTCAAAAATACATGTTATATCCGGGAAAATTTGGCAACTCTCGAATGTTCATACGGCGATCTTTCTTAGCACGGCATAAATGGGAATCGTTTACGTGTTTTTTGCCTTGTTATACGTCACATATCGATGGCTGAAGTGCTTCACCGTGCATGTATCTCCATTGCGGTGTTTCAAAATCTCCACTCCTGGTTTATTTCTTCGAAAAGGAACAAGTCAACTGTACAGTTTGAATTTATACAGAATCTCCTGATACTATAAGCTGTCAAGCCTCCTAAATTTTCATTTCTGGTAACGCTGTAAGTTCTGCCGTTTGACCAGGCTCGGACTGGCGTGAAAAAAGTAATGCCGCGGCGACGTATCGTGACAGCCCCCAGGGGGGGGGAGACCCCCCAGTAAGGAGAGGAGGTCTGAGGGGCGGCCGCCCCCCGGAAAATTTTTGGATCCTTTATATCCCGAGAATGCAATTTTATCCTCCCGGACGCTTGTAAAATTGTCAACTATTAGAGGTTTGGATTGATACAATATTCGACCTAAAACGTAATTTTGAGAGCACGTAAGTTTTATTTTACGCCAAAAAATTTCACTTAATTAACTCGTAACAGTGGAGACGCCCAACTCGGGGGCCCCAGTCGTCGAAAACTAATTAACCCTTAGATTACAGAGTCTTAAAATTAATAAAAACAATTCTGGGGCCCCCAGCCTCGGGGGCCACGAGGACGACGGCAAAGAAAGAGAATTAAAAAAAAATTGTGGGGCCCTCTTCCTCGGGGGCCCCGGGAAAGAGGGCCCCAGAATTGTTTTTATTAATATTAAGACCCTGTAATCTAATAGTCAATTAGTTTTCGACGACTGGGGCCCTCGAGTCGGGCGCCTCCACTGTTACGTGATATTTCAGTGAAATTTTTTGACGTACCTAAAATAAAACTTAAGTGCTCTAAAAATTACGTTTTAGGTCGAATATTATATCGTCCTCGGGGGCCCCAGCCGCGATCGCGGCCTAGCGGCTCTGGCCAGTCCGAGCCTGCGTTTGACCCGGCCGACTATCATGCTTTTTGCAATTATCGAAAGGTACTTGTCTCTGGATGAGCCCGCTCTGTTCAGATTTTGTAAAAATGGCCTAGATATTTTTATACAAGAGTAGAGCAAGGAGCTTAGAAAGGGGGCACAATTTGAAATTCCCGCCCGTGCAAAATGGCGGGAATTTCAAATTTAGCGGAAAACTGAACTAGACGGGAAATGTTCAATCTTGGTCTTTTAGTAGGGTAAGGTAAGAGAATCGGAGGTATGATTCTTTGTTACAGACCAGCCAAAAGCGACAAAACGCTCCGTTCCGCTTCGTTTAAGTCTTGGTGTAAAGTTTGAAATAAATGACGATTTTTTCCATACGATTCATATTGGTCCAATCGCTCGCTTATGCTTTTGATTCTGGAAACCTAAGGTTTTCTCTCACTAAATATTTTCCTACACACCTGATGAGAAGAGTGTAACTGAAGCTTTTACTTACTTCCGAACTCCGGTGAGCCAAGCCGCGACTATCATGGCCTTCACCGACACGTCAACTGGCATGTAGTCTGGCACCGCGGATTTATCGGCCATCGTCGTCCGAATCACACCCTTCCCGACACCGACGAGCAGTCCTGTCGGTCCGTTGAAATTGTCGATCCACCCGGGAATAGGCTCTTTCAATGTTGAAATTACTGAAAAAAACACCTCAATTTATCAAAAACGCTCCTTTATCAAACAACGGCCGGCTGATTATTCAAAATGGATAGATGCTTTGTCTATAGGCGTTTTGTTTAGCAATTCCCTGTCTATCAACACTTCTTGTCTATCAATGTTTGGTCTATCAACGCTTTGTTTATCAACGCTTTGTTTATCAACGCTTTGTTTATCAATGCTTGGTCTATCAACACTCGGTACATCAACGCTTCGACCATGAAGGATATTTCCATTTAAATCTTCCGTCACATTCTTTCGGCGCAATGATACAACTATTTGAACTCTGCGGAATGCGTGAGGTATCATGCCGCATTTGAAGGCGTTTTCAAAACAGCCAAGTTCCGATACCCGGATTATCGTTTAGCATAGTTCATATTATTTTGTTATATTCCGTACCACTTGTTTATTTGTAATCCTCCTATAAAAACCACCCATTTCCTAAATACAATTCTAGCTGGAGCGCACTTAAGCGCATTCATGACTGCAAAAATGTTAACGGAAATCGAAAAGGCCAGCGTGCATGAAGGTTATTTCAATTGTAATGTTCCGTCGCATTCTCACGGCGCAATGATACAACTATTTGAACTCTCCGGAATGCGTGAGGTATTTTGGCCGCATTTGAAGACGTTCTCAAAACAGCCAAGTTCTGTTATCTGAATAATCGTTTTGCATAGTTCATATTATTTTGTTTTCATTTCTAACCACTTGTTTACTTATAACTAGCGAAATGCCCGTGACTGAAGTCACGGGTCTAGAGGCTGCTAAAATATCTATTACCCCGAAAAATGGTGGTAGGGGAGCAAGACATGCCATAAAAAAAATGATAAAATTGATAGAAAAATGAGTTGAGGGGAAAGGATGATGGAGCTAGAAAAATGAGCTGGGGGGGAGGGAGGTAGAATAAATGCTGGCAAAAAAATTAAAACTAACCTAGCAATGATTTATTAAAAAAAGAAAGAAGAAAAAATGAAAAAAAGAAATTGAAATAAAACATCAGCTGATAATAAACAAAGGTTACCAAGGAAACCAAGGAATGGAGCTCTCATAAAAATAGATTAGTGGAAAACAGCGTAAGTAGGGCACTTACGTTAATTGCCGTTTATAAGTAAACGGTAAGTGCGATTTAACCAAAAATCTATACAGTTCTTTATAAGGTCAAAATGGACAAAATTACAAAATTTGAGTAGGCTAACGTAAATCGAACGATAGTTATCGTGAACGAAAGAATTGACGACATAGGTCGGGTAAGTATTACAGGTGGGATGGGATGGGATGGGATGGGATGGGATAGGATTCTCGTTTTTTTGGGGGCCTCGGGAAGGAGAACACTTCTGGTGATGGCAGCACAGCTGACGGGTCACTGGCCAAAGTCAGCAATACTCTTCTGTGGGTCGTGTAGCGGCCAGGGAAGTAGAATCCTAGTAGGTATTCAATAAACTCGGTCCAAAAGAACTATTTTCGAAACCCAGGATATGAAACTGGGGAATCTAAAGATGCGTGAGATTTACATACTTCGAGTGAGACGGAGATAAATACAGTGGTCAAAACTTACCGATTGAGGGTCTAAATACTATGACTGGCAACTCGTCTTTGTGCTCTAACATGATTTGCTCAGCAAGATTCTTTGTGAACGTATATGTGTTTGGAAACTTTCCGAGATATCTATAACAGACAATAGGAGATTGTATTAATTTTTTTCCAGAGTGGCAGTAGTGTGTATATACCTCTAGCCAATTCGATTTTTAAGGGGACTTGCGGCGAATGGACGGCAATCGAATATAGTAGAATAAAACTTACTTTTCCGAGAGAATGTTCAAAGTGGCACGATCTACTTTTTCTGCGACATCGATTGCCTCTCTCCAGTCCACCTGCATTGGATATACTTTCTCTTCAACCTCCATCCTCATGCAGTTACAGTATGTCGTCGATACGTGCAACAAAGCCTAGAAAAAAAGATGATTCAAAAGTTTAGAACACGTTTTGTCAGCAGCCACTCAAGTAGCAGTGATCGCGATAAGTTGCGACTTGATCGGAGAATGTATCGCGAGTTCACCGACGTCGATTTATTATCATATTATCGGATAAAAAATTGCGATAGCATCACATACATTTGCAATAAACTCGCGATTTTATCGACGGCAATTTATCGCAATATTATCGGGACAAAAAATCGCGATAAATTGGTATAAAATTTAAATTTCATCGAACGCGATTTCATGGAGATACAATTGGGACAAGATCAAGGATAATCGCTCAGATGTTGACGATTTTAGCGATGTAACCGCGCAAAAATCGTAGCAGAATCGCAACTTAATTCCAAAATATCGCGATTATTTCGTTGATGTATGCTACTTTGGTATTTCGACGATTAACTTGGTGAGTGTAATTTTAGGTCATCAACTGCATTGCACATCATGATTCCATTCGGAATTTGTATCACTTGATGTTTCTTAGGTAGGTAAGCGTTTAATTTGAGAGCCATGTCTAGTGTTAGTGTCCGTAGTGTTAGTGTTAGTGTCCGTTACACTGTGCTTACTAGGCTCTATTCGGACGAGCTGCCACAAGCGCCAATGATGTTTGCCTTGTGAAAAGTATGCTCTTACAAGTTCCTTGAGACATTGTTAATGAACGTTTGTCATGCTTTTGCACCGATTTGAATACTTTATGCAATTAGGAGATACACTATTTCTAGCTCATTCGTAAAAGCACATATCTGCATAGAGAAAATAGCCGTAAATATAGGTAAAAAGGGACAGAAATAGTAATTCCTCATTGCAAAAAGTATTCAATTCGAAGTAAGACTATGTCAATTGCCCAGGGGCGTAGCTGGGAAATTTCTCTGGGGGGGGGGGCATGGGACCACCTCTCGTGGTGAAGAGAGCGGGGGGTGAGGAATGGAGGATCCCATTTTTCTGGGGGGGCACGAGATTTCTGGGGGGGTAGGCCCCCCAGGACCCCCCTAGCTACGCCCATGCAATTGCCAGTCTTTTTGTGTCTCTCATAAAATCGGCATTATGGCGCCCATGATATTCTGTCAGAAATAGGAAGATTCATCAAAGCTAAAGCCAAAAGAAAATTATAAATATTTCGAAAAAAATTAAAACAACGGCGAAAATCGTTGCTTTACATCAGCTGAACAGTGAGCATGTTGTGTTGTGCACGTCTTTATTTCTGTTTAAAACTGTACGCAATACGTTCTCAGTTATATAAAGTGCCTTCATTTTTGCCTGACACCAACCGTATTGTCACCACGTCAGTATAAAGTTGCTCGAAAAAAGTTCCGACAATGTGGTAAAATGGTGCTGGATCCACGCTATTTTGCGGAAAAGGGTGGTCAGAATGTTCTAAAATTTCGAGGATAGTCAAACATTTTGAGCCACGCAAAATGATGTTTATCATTAACAGTCCCAGTCAGCACCGCAATATTTTTAAAACATTTTTAAAACATTTTTGACATTATTTTGTAATTATTTTAAAAACATTGTCAAAATATTTTCAAAATTGCTACATGTTAACTCCATGTACATATTTTAAAAATATTTCCAAGGAAAATTTTAAAAATATTTTCAAAATATTTTATCGATACCGGAATGTTTACCTATTTGTATACCATGCGCGCTCTATCAATGGTTATTGACACTATTCCCTTCTGTATACTCAGCGCGCTCTGTCAAGTAGATGTGGAAGTACAGGCAAATTTCGTCATTTTCATAGTACTGCAATTTTATTACATTTGAAACATGAAATACACAAGTACTGAACATTTTAAATCACTTACCTGAAATCCTGCGACGTTTAGGAGTGTAAAACACCCGGACGCCCTCGTGCGGACTGGAACCTGGGCCGCGGGTTTGGTAGCCGAGCACTCTAGCCACTGAGCCACAGAGAGCTCATGGTGGGCCGGGTTAAAATCACGCCTGTTATAGCATGCGTTGCGTCAGTGCGCGGCTCGTTCCTGTTATTTGTTTTTTTCGATCTCACGTAATAGGTACTTACATTAAATTTACACTATGTAAATAACACCTCATAATAACTGAAAATAAGGACTTGAAAATATTTTTAAAAAATATTTTTAAAATAATTCAAAAATATTGTTTGTAAATATTTTTTTAAAAAATACTTTAAAAATATTTTCAAAACTTTTTTATTAATATTTTAAAAATGTTCACAGACAATATTTTTGAATTATTTTCAAAATATTTTCGAAAAAATATTTTCAAAATATTACTTTAAAAAGTTTTGAAATATTTTTGAAAATAGTTGGAAAATATTTTTTAAAAATTATTTACGTGACAATATTATACAAATATTTTTATGCTTTCATTTTATAAATAATTACATTAAATATTTTTACAATATTGCTATGTAAATTATTTTTTAAAAGTATTTTCCGATTATTTTCAAAATTTTTTAGCAATGTTATTTAAAACTTTTTCAAAAATATTTTTTAAAACTATTTTAAAAAAGTTGTATCAATATTTTTCAGAGGATATTTTAATAGCAATAATGAAAATATTTTTAAAATGTTTTTAAAATATTGTGGACTGACTGGGAGTAATTTACCACCTTGTTACATACAGGACGGGCCATATTTTTCTGTGTTTTTTCTCTTGTTCAATGTAGCTCCATTCAGCGTATTGTGTTCACGGGCAGAATGTATTGACAGCAAGAAATTCGGAAGCATGCACATACAAATGGTTTTGGAATTCCAAATTAAATTGAAAAAGTTCCGGGTAATTTTGAGATCATGAATCCTCAAAATAAAAGAGAGGAAATATAATAATAGAAATGAATATTTGATTCGCATATCTTCACAGAAAAAAAAAACTTATTCACCCCATTTTCAGGCTTAAAATTAACTGTATATTATAGGGCGCCATTTCCTAACCGCAGCGCGGGCTCGAACTCAAGAGTGGCGCCTCACGGCAATGGAAACCATAAAGTGAACGCCTACTTCCCATTAGTCTTCTATAGGCTAATATCGATGTCCAAAGTGCGAAACCACGTTTTTTCAACGCGTGGTCATTTTGGGTCATTTTCGGACTCAGCGCTAAAAATCTACCCAGGCTCAGTCAAGAATTAGGAGCAAATTTTGAAAAGTGTTTTTTTTTTTTTTTTTTTTTTTTTTTTTTTTTTGTAGATAAGTGTAATTCCCTCTCTGAAGCTATGGTAAAAAATCGATTATTAAGGTGTTCGTTGAAAACACCCTGTTTATCGACCCCTTTCCATAGGTTTGAATGACAGATAAATCTATATATAGCAAAGCATGCCACGTCACTGGTGCGAGAGAGTCTTACCTTTAGATTAGGCATCTTTTTGGCAAGGTTGATGACTTCTCTGGTTCCGCGGGTGTTCATGCGGACTGCATCGGGGATGGGGTCGTCGAAGCGAACGCTGGCCGCGACGTGGAATATGATGGAGACATTTTTTATCAACAGATCCTCATCTTCTGCCGAAAGCCCCAGTTTCTCCTGCGTCACGTCCCCGTTGACGGGTGCCACAATCCGCTCAAAAGCGCCTGGCTGTTCCCGCAGCACCCTTTCAAACACCTGCGCAATTATCATTAATATAAGAGTCGAAGGATTCCACCTTTTAGTCGATGTTGCCTTTTTCTTGTTCACTCAATGGGAAGTGTTCCCTCCCCTCAAGTAAGATAGAATAGAGCACATTTACCTAGGAATGTGACATAATCAGGGCCGGATTTACCTACTTGCCGCCCATGGGCCGCCTGTACTTTGCCGCCCTCTTCTCATTCGTTTTGAAACATCAATAAAAACCATCAAGTGAACGTGCCAGCGGGGGTGGGGTGCATAAGATGCGTTTACTCGTGTTGGAAACATTTTTTGGGAAAGCCCTGTCAACACTACTAGCAAGAATTCACCGAACTTTGCGCGAACGCTAAGTTTCGTAAACCTATCTCTGCGTGGACAAGGCCTTCCATTCATAAGAAATGAACGAAAAAATTATGAAAGAACAAACATAAATGTGGTTTAATGATTTTAACCTCCGCCGCCGCGCCGCGCAGACCGCGGCGTTTTTGGAGCAATGCGTGAGGTATTCCGACAGTTTTGTAGGCGCTATGATTTTCACGCCGACGACCGCTGCTGAACGCTCTGTGTTTGACGCAATGCGTGGAGTATTCACGCAGCCTTGTAGGCGCTATCCGTTTCACGCTGACCGCACTGCGTTTGCCGTAATGCGTGAAGTATTCGTGCATTCTTGTAGGCGCTATCCGTTTCACTCTGACCGCAATGACCGCACTGTGTTTGATGCAATGCGTGAAGTATTCGTGCAGTCTTGTAGGAATGTAGGCGCTAATATGTGTTACATGCCAACCGCCGCGCCGAGGGCTTCTCCTTTTTATTTCAAGTCCTCGTCATGATTTCTCTCTCATTGTCAGTCGCGCCGTTCCTAGCCAAATTGCGTGTTTGGTCTCTCTCTTAACTCGATTAATTAAAGCTGCTGTCTCTTGTATCACCGAAAGACGATACAATTAGAAATTACTAAACTCTCAGGAAATGAGAGATTTTGTTTGTATTTTTTTTCTAAATCCGATTTTTTTATATACCTACATTTAAAAAAATTGCAAAATTTGCCGCCTCCTAGATTTGCCGCCATGGGGTAATGCCTGATTTGACTATTTGCCAGCGTGTTCCGTATTACCTATATTTTCAATCAGTATTACAGCTGAAATTAAGAACATGGAGTTCAGCTTTCAGCCGGTGGATCGCGTTGAGGTCACCGGCCTGAAAGCTAATAATATCATACCTTTTTTCCTCATTGATTTTGCTCAAACGAAGCAGACTTTTCTGAACCTTGCTAATTGCCAATATTGTTACAAACATAGGTATAATGCAATATTGTTAGCATTTTTTTACCAGTAGCTTTTGATTTATTGTGTATCTTATTGATAGCACAAAATTGTTCATTTGAGTCACGAGAATTGGCGAGCTTTTAGTTTTGGTTGCCCGGCCACTGATTCCTCCTAATCAGCGTCTCTGGGACGAGATACGTTGAGCGAGATTCCCAACCTGGCGAGCTGAATTACAGGCAAGTTGCGCTTATCTAGCTATTTTCATCTCTACTGAAGAGAGGCCCGGACCGGACACTGTTGCCTGAGCACGTGCTCCGCGACTCGTCAGTTTTTGCAATCAATCTAGGAGTCCTCAAGCCAAAGCTAGAAAGGCATGTTGAGCCTGTGGTCTTGAACCTATAAGCAACCTCCTCGGTGCGATATTTTGAGTCAATCTTCGACCCTTAAGACGAAACTAAAAAGGCATGTTGCGCCTATGGTCTTGAACCTGTGAGGGATCGCCTCAAGTGCGATTAACCCCCCCCCCCCCCCCCCCCAATTTGAACGCTCGCGAATTCTCGTGAGTGCTAACATGTGGACCACGTTGCGGTCACCTATAGCCGTTTTTTTTTTTTACAGAACTGCTAAAGAGAGCTAAAGTCCAGAAAACCTTGATGCGGTTTCTGGCGCTTGTTTTGAGTTCTATTTCGTCTTAGTCTGGGGGAGGAAAATTTGCGCTTCGTTTTGAAGTTTAGTCAAACTGCCATGTTGCAGCATCTGGCCCCTATTTCTTTAGTTGTTTCGGGTCGAGTGTTGCAACTGTGATGATATACAATTTTGATTAGTTTCGCTCTATATGCTACTGCAGCTAGAAGCAGCATTTTGTCGTTATATTCTGAGTTGCAAACCTCACCCATCAGATTGATTTTAGCTCAATGTTTGAACTAGGTTCTTATCGAACACAGCGACATATTCATTCCCCACCTTTAGGAGTCAGTATTTTGGACACGCATGGGCCGATTTTTTATTTTTTGGTGTCGATTTAGATTGAAATCTCCCACTTTTTCTGAACCCGAGGAGATAATTAATTAATCATGTAGTATAGGATTCTTTGAAAAAATGTGCATCATAGAAAAGTATTTTAACTGGTTTTTAGTTCCTGAAAGAACATTTTCATAATTTTAACGAAAACTCTGATTTTTAAAGTGAGGGCCCCTCTTTTACTCCCAAGGGGAGCTAGGGGGGGCTCCGGTGTTGGAAATTCAGGTCGCTGTGATGGGAAAACAGTGCAAAGCAGAGCCGCGTTGGAAGTTTTCGGACTCTGCACTCGCTGTAGGGTGTGCCTTATTTTTGAGTTTTGCGAAAATCAAGTTGGTCAACCCCTAAAAAGTTTCTATGTAGTCTCTAAATGAACCCCCTAAAAGGAAAAAATTTTAAAAAAATTTTAACCCGTGCCTCAAAGGGCCTAAAGGGCCTAAACCCAAAATTCAAAAATTTTGGCAAGCGACACATCAATTCTGAAGGAAAATGGCAAGTTACGGCCCTTTTAGGGCAGAAATTTCGTCCGTTTTGCCGTATCTTGAAGCGTAAGGTCACAAACGGCCCAATGACGACGTGAGGCTATGGGCTGGCGGGGCGCGCCGCGGCCGGCCCGCCGCTGAGCGTGCGCGCGCGGCAGGGTTGCGTATCGCCGCTTTACAACGGCGTAGAGGAACGAACGGTGGGGTGGGAGGGGGATATCCAGTGGAAAAGCATCCACATTTTCTATCCATATTGAAAATGCATTATACTTTTTCAATATAGATGAGGAAATATGAGCCATACAAGGAAGTGATGAAAAGAGTGACAAATACATATATAGTTTGTACGGTTAGGAGTGTAAGTGGGGAAAATTTGCCATAACTACAGAACAGCCCTGAAAATCTCCGGGAAATAAAAGCTGCTATTGATGAGAGGTTTGCATGAGAGGTTTAATTAAGGACTAATTAAAAAGATAGGTGCGATGTTGTCGAATCGTAAGCCCTTTACGCGATCAAAAGCGATTAGTGTAAATTTAATTGGAAAAGTTTAAGAAAAATTTGATGAAAGAAAATTGCCCCAAATTCGGGAAGTGCTTAAAGTGTTTTTCTATCATGTGAAGTGTTCGCACATGAATGTCAATGGCAGTAATTCCAATATGGAATGAAAAATGTAGAATCCCTGTGATACATAGTGTCTATGTTTCATCCACCCACCTTTTCATTAGTGCATTTAACGTGACATCAATTAGAAAGTTTAATTCGAGAGGTTCAATATGGCTTACCCACTTACATTTTCTGGTACTGAACCCCCCCCCCCCCCCCCCCGCCACAGTTACTTGCTATAATCAAAAATGTAATATTAGTTTCTCGAAAAAATATGATTTAATTTGGGGTTTGAACCCCACTCTTTATAACCGTGGGCAATGCCCTTGACCACTCGGCTACTGGGGAAGATTTGAGTAAATGAGGCTAATGTGTCATTTAGCCCCGTGGGTGAGGCCAGGCAATCAACATCAGCTGTAAGTTGGCGAAGCCAGATTGAACCGATTGAATAAAACTTTCTAATTGATGCCGCGTCAAATACACCAATGAAAAGGAGGGTAAACAAAGTCTTATTGATGTATCAAACCTTCAGTAATTTCATATGAAATGAAAAAACCTATTTTCTTCCGTTTGGCGGGACTCATTAGCGAGCGTGAATTTTTCCTGTCGAGAAACTCTCTCCTGGGCGCGAGCTTTCTTCTTGTCTGCTCTCCTCACCTCTGCTGCAAGGATAGTATCCTTCACTGTGGATATTATGCATTCTCATCCAGGTTTTCGTTGAAGAATTAAACATGCTTTATCCTCTTCATTTTCCATGATATCTAGAGTATTGCATAAAGCAATGTCGAATAACACGTCGATTTTTGCCGTAAAATCAGTCTCCAAATTCTCTTGAACCAGCGATCGACGGCTAGCATTTTTTGATACGCGCCTCCACTCCTCATAAAAATGTAAACATTTTTAAAAACATGGACACTATGTATCACAGGGATTCTACATTTTTCATTCCATATTGGAATTACAAGATCAGAGGTTTTTGACGCACCGCCATTGACATTAATGTGCGAAAACTTCACATAATAGAAAAACACTTTAAGCACTTCCCGAATTTGGGGCAATTTTCTTTCATCAAATTTTTCTTAAACTTTTCCAATTAAATTTACACTAATCGCTTTTGATCGCGTAAAGGGCTTACGATTCGACAACATCGCACCTATCTTTTTAATTAGTCCTTAATTAAACCTCTCATGCAAACCTCTCATCAATAGCAGCTTTTATTTCCCGGAGATTTTCAGGGCTGTTCTGTAGTTATGGCAAATTTTCCCCACTTACACTCCTAACCGTACAAACTATATATGTATTTGTCACTCTTTTCATCACTTCCTTGTATGGCTCATATTTCCTCATCTATATTGAAAAAGTATAATGCATTTTCAATATGGATAGAAAATGTGGATGCTTTTCCACTGGATATCCCCCTCCCACCCCACCGTTCGTTCCTCTACGCCGTTGTAAAGCGGCGATACGCAACCCTGCCGCGCGCGCACGCTCAGCGGCGGGCCGGCCGCGGCGCGCCCCGCCAGCCCATAGCCTCACGTCGTCATTGGGCCGTTTGTGACCTTACGCTTCAAGATACGGCAAAACGGACGAAATTTCTGCCCTAAAAGGGCCGTAACTTGCCATTTTCCTTCAGAATTGATGTGTCGCTTGCCAAAATTTTTGAATTTTGGGTTTAGGCCCTTTAGGCCCTTTGAGGCACGGGTTAAAATTTTTTTAAAATTTTTTCCTTTTAGGGGGTTCATTTAGAGACTACATAGAAACTTTTTAGGGGTTGACCAACTTGATTTTCGCAAAACTCAAAAATAAGGCACACCCTAACTCGCTGTTTTCCTGGGCGACTTGGCAAGTTTCAGTGCATTTTCTGCTCCTACTGAAACTTGCTGAGTCTGCTTGAATCGGCGAGTGACTGGTGCGAGGCTTCCTAACGCGGCTCCTCAGTCCGAGTTCTTAGCGATGTATAGAGGGCGACGCCCATCAGAGTCCTCTGTTTTCACGAATACAATATCTGTCTGCCAAAAGACTCTGGTTTATTCTTTTTTGGTTTTATTTAGTCATCCTCGTTAGAGGCCTGTCATTCCAACATCCGGGACCATGAAATTCGGATTCTTTGGGATCGATTCCCTCTTCGTTCCCGCAGTCCTGGACTTTTTCCAGTGGCGATTCCAGCAACTTTGGCAAAACTTTTTTTTTTTTTTTGTTTTTAAACTGTCAGTACTCCATTTTAATCCATTGAATATGTTGATGTTTGGTGATACAGACTGCCTCACCCAGAATCGATTGTTTAACATACAGTTAAATGGAGGAAAACAGGGTTGCCAACTTGCAAGAATCGCAACTCACTGAGTCCGAACTCAGATAAGCGAGAAAAAATCCTGATGCGGAGCGGAAAGGCTGGGCTACCCTGTGTTTGAGAGGCTTGGAGGACGGTGCAGCTATTGCTATTTCGAGCGTGTTGGAATTTTCGAAATTACATGGATCCTTATGGTGGAAAGAAAGTTCAAACTGACTTTTCGATGCTTACAAAATGGAATTATGGAGCAAATTTTTCACAGAATATGCTTGAAGACTAATTTTACTTAAAATTATTAATATCTCAATTTTTCCAAAAACTGCACTTATATGTGCATTGTGCTCCAAGCCCCTTGTGTGATGATTGGTGGGAATATTCGTGGGAGCTTACCGGTTGTTCTGTTAGCTCTTTGATTCGGTCGGCAGCGTTCTTGTCTTTCTTCTGGCGGACCAGCAAGTAGATTTTAGCGACGGAGCCGCAGGATCGGACCAATTTCTCGATGAGCACTTTGCCCATGAATCCGGTGCCGCCTGTGATCAGCACATGTTTGTCCCGAAAAAATTCCGGGATCGTGGGCTCCATCTCGCTTTTTTGCCCCTCGCCGGTTGACCTGTAAAGTTAGAGACATTCCTTCAGCATTTGTTCCGAGGAAAAGTGCAAAATGGACGTACTTCTATCAAACGGAACTGTGTGCAGGTGGAAAAGATGGGGTGTGCTCGTTAGTGCTCGGCCATAAGAATGAATGGGAAATATAAAGCCCCCAAGACGAAGCCGCTAGCCGCCGCTCCAATTGACCGTATTTCTGCCAAACGGAACTACGTGCATTAAGTCATGAGCCCAGAGACCCCTAAGAATGCATGCACAACAGGGCTCACGTAATAATGCTCATAGTGCCGTTTGGCAGAAATACGTTCAATTGCCCTTCGTCGACTTTAATTCATAAGCTCAGTGCACAACGCTCTTGACACATGCCCATAGCTCATAGAGTGTGCACATAGTTCCGTTTGACAAAATGTAAAATCCCGCTTATAATTACGCAAACGGAACTGTGTGCCAACTGAACGCAAAACTCATGAGCCGTGGGCATGTGTCGAGAGCGTTGTGCCAGGGGCTCATGAGTTATAGTCAACGAATGTCTACTGGAGCGGCGGGCGGCTACGTCACTGGCGCTTTATATTTTCCTTTCATTCTTATGGACCGAGCACTAACGAGCACACCCCATATTTTTCACCTGCGCATAGTTCTGTTTGATAGAAATGCGTCCAAATGAAGTTCAATGTATTGAAATAGATTCGCGTAAAGGATAGGTAGGGCCGTTTTTAAGCCCACCAATGTAGGAGAGTTTCCAGATTGATAGTGATAAATCCCAAGTAGCATTTTTCAACGGAAAAATCACGATTTGTTGCGATTTTATCGGCGATAAAATCGCCAGAATTATCAACATCTGAGCAATTATCCTCGATCTTTTGCAATTTTATCGCCCGGCAATTTATCGCGATGTCATCGAAACAGAAATGGCAATGTATGGCGATTTAATTTCGATTGTGTCGTAGAAAATTGATCGCGATTTTATCGAACCAAAAACTGCGATTTAATCGCCATAAATCGCAATTTTTACTTCGCAAATATTGCGATAGATTGATATCGATATACCCGCGATAACCGAAGAATAAAATGGCAATTTATCGCGATCACTGCTACTTGGGATAAGTTATTATAGTCAATTTCTTGTCTACTCATTGGAATGAAACTTTCACTATATAGCACGTTCAACCTACAATATTGTAAGTTGAAAGTTGCCACCAATCAGTAAAGTAAGGCGTGTTGCTTACACATTTCCGCTCTATTTGTCACAGTCTTAGAATGGCGAAGCAACAGGCCTAACATGGATTGATTATACAATTATATTGCAATTACACTTACGCAATTTAGTTGCAATTTTGGTCAAATTTTCTTCCATTACCAAAGCAAGGTTCTTGAAAAGCGTACAACTTGGGCCAGAGTAAAGTGGAACAGGGAATTCAACATCGTAACTTTTGCTTTAAGGAACGGTCATCTTAATTTGACGTACTTGTTACGGTGGGCTACATTTTGCAACTAGGAACTAAAATTTCCGGCTCATTTTGGAAACAACGATGGGTGCTTTTTTCGTACGAGTCAGATATTGCGATTCCTTATTGCAACATGCAGTCCAAGTATTTGCTTTCTAAGTACGGCTACGGTAATTTAAAATATGTTCTTTCGATGTACGACAAGAGTTGGTTGTTAATTAATTGAGGTGATCTACATGATAACTTGTGAGGGCGGGCTCTAAAAAATAGAAAAAATTGGATCTGGTTTCGGTTTCAGTTTTTTTTCTCTCTGTAACGAGGCGTTCAACACGCAGGTACCACCGCTTTCGAAATGTTGAACCCTGACCTCTAAGAGTTGACTTCGCGGAGACTTGACCTAATTTAGTAACTGGCACGTCTGCGAGACCAAAGCAGTGTGCTAAAACAACGTCACACATACCGAGCTTCATCATGAAGTATTTTCTTTTCGTTGCGGTAAGACAGGGATCAAATTAGACATAAATGTCTTCGCCTTTTTACTAATGAAAATGCTATTATTTTGAAGTCTTTGTTAGGTTAAAAAAAAAAAAAAAAAAAAAAAAAAAAAAAAAAAAAATGTTGAATGATATTTTTTCATTTTTATTTTCTAGAGCACAACTTTATCATGCAGTTGACGTCTCGCGAGTATTAAGGCTGTTGTTTACAAAACGATATGACAATGAATTATGATACAACGTTGCATAAAGTCTATACAAGGTCTGTGGCGATTTTCTGAGTTGAAAACAGTGTTTTCCCTTCATTTAAATCCATTAAAAATATTGATTTCAAGTGAGGCAAACTATTTTACTAAAACTCGATTGTTTTACATATATTTGAATGAAAGAAAACTAGCGTTGCACTTTTTAAGTATCGCCACTGTGCAAGGTGTCCCACATTACGCGTGTGCCAGGCTTAGCTGCTGAGGAAAAACGTTGTCTGTAGAACCGGACGTCACCAAATTTTTGAATGAATAATTATACTTGAAGAAAGTTAGGAAGATATTTTCATGGAATTTTCATAATCATTAGATAAATTGAGCTGAAAATTCTCTAAAACTTTTATAAAATAAGAGCCCGCAAGATGATCCAAAAATTCTATTTATCAAAAGAAATTTGGCAATGATTAAATGTCTATCTCGATGGTGAAACTGCAAGAATGCGTATTTTATCGGTTTGCGGCGTTGCAGGCTTCCTATCATACCTCATTATCTACATGAAAAATTACTGAACTTCAGTCATTGGAAACTTCAGTCATTTTTCTTCTCCATGTGCAGGATTCTGTAAAAATTTCAAATCTTTGATATTGGTTCTGTTTCCTCTCAAAAAATAAAATAGTATAGTGTAAATTTTGAAACACCGCGACAAAGATACGCATTTTGCAGTTTCACTGTCAATATGACGTTCTTACTTACCGATTTAGTATTGGTATCTGAGCAGAGGACAATGATATTGGGAATAACGCCTTGATGCAACTGTTAGTGCTCCAGGGACATCCGTGTTGCATGCTAAAACTTGAAGGCGCTCCGATCATTCTAGCCCATGAATCAATGCTCACAGCGACAGGCAGTGACAACTTGGTGTGGAAGGTTGGATATAATATCCTCATAAGTAGATATAGTGCGAAAATTAGTTTTTATTTGAAATTAGGCGCCTCATCCCAGAAAATCATCTTGCCACAAATTCGTAACGGCGTCCCACACACTGATGCGTGCACTGCTTCATGGACTAGAGTGACAAGGACGCCTTCCAATTTGTCTAATGCAACACGCGGGAATACGAATGCGAATAGGTGTATCGAGGCGTTATTATCAACTTAATTCAATGCGTTGCTTTTGTTGAGTGAGATATTCGCAGTTAAACCCCCACCACGTCTCATTCTGCTGCAGTGTCGATTCAATTAATAAATCAGTCCATTTAAAAATGTTGATATTTTAAAGTTGTGTTGGGTTAAAAAAACATGTTTATTCGATCGTTTTTTTTTTTATTTTCTGGGGCACATTTTCCTCAGGTGATGTTTCTCAGAGACTAAGACTGCTGCTGACACTGCGCTCCGGTGAGCGATCAGTCGCAAATTATACAAGGTGTCCCATACCACCCGTGCCCGGTTTTGTGCTCGATTAACTACTTGAGGTCGCGTCGACGTATTGCGCGGATTTAAATAAGGGCTGATGCTAATCCTAGCAAACATAGTCAATCAAACATCCGTGAATGTATGTCCTAAAAATAAAATGAGATTGTAACGGTTCTTATGAGACTATAGGTTTGGAATGGATCTACCTGGACAATTTTTCGCAGATGGGAGGAGATGGAACGATCTACTTAGCAAAGAGTCCGATTGAATGGAAAAACCTCATATGTTAACATATTTTTGAGGGAAAGGGGGAGGGCCGATCTAAAATTAGGATGTAGTTTCAAAATATTTAGATGGAGAGAAGGAGAGGGGGATATAGAGAGAGATTTAGAGGTGTGCTATCTCCTACTCATACCATGAGTGTTACTTAACCTTCTTTTTTCACTCATACACTTTCATTCCACCGCATGTCTTCGCAGTTTGGATACGGAGCCGCTCATATATAGCCGTGGTTCTTCATGACGTATTAATGGCGCGGCGGAGTAAAGACGTCCAGCATTGCGTGACCCCATGCAAAAAAAAAAAAAAAAAAAAAAAAAAAAAAAAAAACCAAGGAAAAGCGCGAGTTTTTGGGAAACGTTTCGGTAGTTTTAACACAGATGTTGTCAATGAAACCCGAATGCATGTTTAAGTAGAGGAGAGGGGGGAGGGGGGGTATCAAGCAGAGTGTGACGCGATTTCAAGGAATGGGGGATGACCTGCAATATACGAAGACGGTTCCAGAAGTTTTGCACGGGTCCACGTTTTGTACAGGTGCTGATGAGGAAAGCTAGCAAGCCTCGGTTTACAGAGTCGTTCTTTAGATTAACTCTTCACATACTAAATAAGCAAATGTCGAGCACATTTCGTCAAAAATCGACCGAGATGCAGTATTTTTCTGGAGACGTGTTGCGTTGAACCCTACCAGATTGAGGACTGTTTTTTAAAAAAACAAGAACATAGATGAGAGATAGGGGAGGGGGGGTTGGTGAATGTCAGGGATTTCCGATTGCTGGGGGACTCCAACACACTGAAAACACGACAACCCTGCTAATGTATTTGCTCCCTATCTTTGCATAGAGAGCTTATTTTGATAAAGAAGAGGACTCTTGGAGGTAGCGTGGGGTATATCCCCTCTTTTACGGCCTCCACTTTGAGAGATTTTTTGAGCTTTGGGGTTGAAATCAGAGAAAACCAGAGGCGCCATCATGTTTCTCCCAAAAGTTTACATAGGAATCAGTCATTAAATCGCAAATTCCTGACACATATATGAGTTCCATTTCGACACAATATATTAACGGCTCCTAGATGTATACTGCCGTGCTAAGGAAGAACGCCGTATGAACATTCGAGAGTTGTTAAATTTCCTTTGGTAATACATGTGTTTTTGACGAAATTCATGCACAATTTCCCCTAAAATTTTCAGATATTTTAAATTAAATTGCGTAAAAAAAAGTCTGAACATTATGGAAAAAAACATTCAAAATTTTTCCAGTATATTCGGTTTTTATCGAAGGTAATTCGGCAACGTCTGAAGGTTCATTCGGCGTTCTTCCTTAGCACGGCACCATACGAAACTGTACAAAGGCTGTTGTTTACCTTAGAACGGACGGTAAACAGCGGAAAATCACGTGAGTGAGAATAATTTTTCAAGTTGCGGCAACACAGGGTGAACAAGAGTCCTTATCCTGACGGCACAACACAGCACTTTTCTTTCGTTCGCACTCGAGTTACACGCACCAAGAAACACAGAATCAAAGCATCCTCAGGAAGCTGCACGCACCACACCGAAGATCGGACGGAAAAAGCCTCGTCAACGTGTTTCTCAGACGAGTTGGAGATGACGAATTCACGGCTGGCGCTTTCGAAACGCTGGAAAATGCGTTGCCGTCGGCCGAGGCGCGGGGCGCGGGCGGATAATGTTATGGTAATTAAAACGCGGGGCAGAATTCGATTGACCGATGTTTTGTCAATTGTCCGACTCGCTGCACCTCGCCGGGGGCTTTTGACCAGGTTGCCCATTTGAATTCAGCGAAGTGACGCTAGGCAAATGCGAAGAACGAAAACTCGCTCCGGTCCCGATGCGGGGGAACTTTACCGCCGTCCTAAGGAAGAACGCCGTATGAACCTTCGAGAGTGGCCAAATTTCCTCCGATAAAATCTTTATTTTTGAAGAAAGTTATGAATATTTTCTCCGGAAAATTTCAGGAATTTTAGGTGCAATCGCGAACAAAATTATCTGAAAAATCGAAAGGAAAATATTCATAAATTAACCAGAAAATTTGTTTTTCATCAAAGGAAATTTGGCAACGCCTGAGGGCTCATGCGGCGTTCTTCCTTAGCACGGCAGTTTGACGTGCGCCCGTTTTTGACGGAGTTTACTTAATTCGGGGTGATTCAACATTTAAGTCGGTGACGAATCGTGAATCACGAAATAAAAAGTATCACAATCCCAACTACACTCCCGGCTGATTTTGGCACCAAATATAAGAGTAGTTGTACCAGTCAGAGGTATGGTTGAGACTGCCAAAAGTGAGGTTGGATCTATCATACCTCTAGCTAGTGCAACGACTCGTATACCTGGTCCCAAAATCAGACAGGAGTATACTGCCGTGCTAAGGAAAAACGCCGTATGAACATTCGAGAGTTGCCAAATTTCCTCGAAAAAGACATATGTATTTGTGAATAAAGTTTTGCATAGTTTTCCTTGAAATTTTCAGATGTCTTCGATTGAATTGCATGCAAAATTGTCTGAAAATTTTGGAAAAAATATTCACAATTTTTCTAATAAATTCAGTTATTATCGAAGGAAACTTGGCAACGTCTGAAGGCTCATACGGCGTTTTTCCTTAGCACGGCAGTACAGTTGGGATAGTCACACCCTTTTTTTCAGCGTGGTCGATTATCGATATTTCCTCATTTGAAGCTATGGTAAAGAATCGATTATCGATTGTTCGTTGCGAACACCTTGTTTGTCGATCCTTCTCCATAGAATTAAACGGCAGATTAATGAAATGACGTCGGGCAAATGAGGAGAACAAAAACTCGATTGCAGGTGGAGCCTTTGCATGCGTCCGTTGAGATACTTTTTGACGGAAATTCCTTAATCCAGGGTATTTCAACATTAAGGTCTGTAATTAGAGTCGATCCTTCAGCGCTAAAATTTTGGAGAAAAATTCTGCGCCGGAATATATCGATGGTGAGCCCGTTTTTTTTTATTAAAATTTCAGTGACTTTTCCTCTCCTATTGAGGAATATTATGTTTAAACTTCAGGCAATAATGATGGTTCGGTCTCCCTTTAAAAAATAAAATAGAACGAAAAAAATCGCAACCGAGAGTCCGAGGTACGCATTTTTGCAGTTACGCCGTCGATATATCGGTGACTTAAGTGCGAAGCCACGTATCTCCGCATCCCAGGCGGATCGAGGCACTCCAAACGGGAGGGGGGGCTTAAGGGGGGGCCTGTAGAGCTCCCCCTCGAAAATTGTAGAAATTTTAAAGCATCGTAGATGCAGTTTGAGTCAATTTCGTCTTTAATAATTACCAAATACAAATAAGCGTCCTTCTTTCTTCCTTGCTCCGTTCCTTCTATCTTCCTTTCTCCCTTTCTTCTTTTCTTCCTTTCTTCCTTTCTTTCTTTCTTCCTTCTTCCTTTTTCCATGTGAGCACATAGAGGTATAAATGGCCTTAGATGCTAAAGCACCGCTTTAAAATAAACTTATATAACTACTACCACTACTACTTCCTTCCTTTCTTCCTTTCTTCCTTTCTCCCTTTCTTCCTTTCTTCCTTTCTTCCTTTCTTCCTTTCTTCCTTTCTTCCTTTCTTCCTTTCTTCCTTTCTTCCTTTCTTCCTTTCTTCCTTTCTTCCTTCCTTTCTGCCTTAGATGCTAAAGCACCGCTTTAAAATAAAATTATATTACTACTACTACTACTACTTCCTTTTTTCCTTTTTTCCTTTTTTTCTTCCTTTCTTCCCTTTTTTTTTCAAGAAATTGCGTTGACTAGTTTTCCAAAAAAAATAAATATTTTATAACAGGTAGCCCGTTACTTCGCAAACGGAGTTACATGGTTTGGCACTTTGGCCATCGGTATTACTGTGGTGGATAGTAATCCACAAAAGTCTTATTTTCACCCCGAGAATCGATTCCATGAATCTTCAAACCTGAGCCGGGATCATCCTGTATTCCTCGCCGCAAGTCAGGTAACGATACCCACATCGTAAAATGAGAAGCAGATCTGTTGATCAAGTGAAACGAGAAAAACACGAATCTCTCTCTGCGACGGAAGAATTCTGTATCTCATTCCTCATTGCTCGGGGAAAACCAGACATTAAGTATTAAAAAATCATGTGCCTCTTTTCCCATCAAAAATAAAAGGAGGTATTTTTATACATCAAACGTAGTCGTCCCATATGTTTATATTTCCCTTGTCCCACCCTCGTAACGCCCTTGTTCTGTAGGAACTTGCCTTACCATAACGCCATACCATAACGCAATGACGATTCTTGAAAGTTGGCATCACTATTATTTGGACGTATTTATGCTAAAAGGAACTATGTTGTACGCAAAACCTATGCTCATAGTTCCTTTTAGCATAAGTACGTCCATTTCTTCATTAAAATGTATTTAACACAATCGAGCCTTCAATCGACAACTTGCCTTATCTAAATTCAATATTTTTAATGGATTTATAAACGGAGGAAAACTGTGTTGTCAACTTGCAAAATCACCACTGCCTTGAAGTTGGGCTGAGTCATTTGCCTCCAGTCTCAGCAGTTTTACAACGATGTGTTGTCCCATAATTTTTTCTATCCCGAAAACCAAATTCGCAATTGTTCAAGTTTTAATCGGTTTAAAATGTGAAACTGCACCATAAATGTTTCAACGTCGCCAAAGTTCCTCCTATAAAATACAGTTCTGCTAAAAATTTCAATCTTTTTATTTGATATTTTTGTTAAATTTCACTCTTAATTACATCTAGGACATTCGAAAAATTCAAGGAGTGATAACCTAATTAAATGAGCGAAAATAAAACTTTTCTTGCTCTTAACAAAAATGAAAAGTTCCGTAAAAAGACCTGCCAATAAAAGTGTCATTCTGTGCCTATTTTTGAAAACACTGGGATTTCGTTCAGATCTGTTTCAAATAATACCTTATGTCATGAGATAATCTTCCAATGAAAGTTTTAGCTTGAGTTCAAAGCTCGTTTTGGCAATACGGAACATTGCTATGTTTACATTTTTTACTATTATAAGTGCTAACATTTTGAAGTTGCCCGTTTAAAGAACCACTTCAGTCAACTTTTTCTGTATGTTACAATATCCTCAATCGACGTTACTCAGGGATTATGTCTGTTGTTGACGCTAGGATCTAGCGATTAGTTGTGATAAAGCGTTGCAAATTATTTACCTGCGCTAGGCTTTTTGCTCGCTTATTTTAGGGCGACTTATATAAGTATGACCGCAGGGGACTATATAGGGAACAGACTCCAAAGAGGGCTAAAGGGTTTCGAAGTCATGAGACTTTATTTTTTAAGCTCCATTTCCTATCAACGCTCCCGTCCAAAACATCATCCAACCTTTAAAAACGGAGAAAAAATCATGCCATAGATTGTCGCTGGGACACCTTGTATAGTTACAACAATGTATCATGACTGATCGCTAGATCGTATTGGCAACAACAGTCTAAATCCCTGAGGAACATCAACTGATGAAATTGTGCCCCATAAAGTAAAGAGAGAGTTTGCGATCATTAAAGGTTAATGTCTTGGTTGGTTTAAACTTATCACTTACCAAAATAAAGTACATAATGTTATTAGAACTGATGAATTAGGATTTAAGTAATTGTCTTAGTGTAGGCTGCTCAGAATGAACTTCTTACGCCGCATAAATTATCCCTTGCTCTTAAAGTCTCAGCATTAATTCTGTATAAATTAATTTTTGGAATTTCTGCATTACTTTCTTAAACATATTTCTTCCCTTCCCAAATGACTAATGATTTGGACATACCATAGCATATCTCCGGTAAACTTAACCTTAATTCATCTCTAAATTTAAAAATAAGAGACATCTGAAGTGCAAACGCGATACAACTATTCGCTCAAGATGGATGTCCAAATTGCATACGAAAAATATAAGACGCAATGGCGCTAGTCGTGAACTCGCAATGCTCTGCTCCATGCTACTAGTTTGAAGCACCATTACGAATAAGACAAACGGAAACAAACACAATCTAGAAATAAAGCGAGGGAAAGGATGCGCGTTCACGGCGGCGCAGAGATATAACTGGATAGCATTTTGCAATTCGGAACTATAGGCAGAACGGTAGGTTCTCAGGAGAGCAACTTTTGCAAAAACCATTGGCGTTTTTCATCAAAACGATCAATGTTGTGGTTTGATGGTTCATTTTATAGCTATGGAGTTCCTTTAACACCCTGTGTTGACAGATTCGTCAAAAACATCACACTGTTGCCAATAATTACAAAAAAAGGCTATAGTTCCTTATTGCAAAATGAAGAATCCGGGGAAGCTCATTTTGCAATTAGGAACTATAGATTGTTTTAGCACTGACTGCATAGGGGAGACGACCCTGGTGTCACTATTACAAACTGGAGGGTTAACCCCAACAGAGAANTGGACGTCCGTACTGCATCCGAAAAATTGAAGGCGCGATGACGCGAAGCGTGAGCTCTCAAAGCTCTGCTATATGCTGTCAACGAGGTTTCGCTCAGATTCGGGAGAAAAGTTAAATAAGAGGTCCGAATACGTGTTTCCTACCGTCGGCTGTGTTACTCACGTAGTAATACCATTACGAATAAGACAAACGTAAACACACACAAAATGGAAATAGAAGGAGGGAAAGGATGCGCGTTTACGACGGCGCAGAGATACGACTATTCGTACTTGGTGGACGTCCGTGC